CCTGAGGTTGTTGCTAGGCTACCGGTCTGCGGGAGACTGAGGCCCCAGAGTCCTATCCTCTAGGGCAGATCCATCCCACACAGACTACCTAATTCAGACACCCTGTAAACGGGATCCCCAGCCATTTAAATTGTCAGCTGCCAAATGCCTATCTTTCTAGGATTTTTCACTTAGCAAGAGGCCTTGTGGAGGATGGAAAAAGAGAAATCGATTTTATTCTGAGTCAACTTGAATAGCTGCTTCTCTGTCAGGACCTCAGTGTCCTCCTTCCATTGCTGGGGTTCATTCATTTATTCATTATTCAAGTATGCATTCATGTTTATTAAGGGCCTATCACGTTCCAGGCGCTCTATCAGGTGCTGGGGACAAAGGGATGAACAAGAGAGAGGCCATCCTTGCCCTCACAAAGGAAGAAACATTGGGCACTTAAGCAAATAAAGAAGATAAACACCCATCTCATTATCCCTTTCCTTCCCCCTCAATGATTTTTCTGCCCCCACTTTCCTTACTAGATCTCTAGGACCCCCCAAACTGACGAGAGAAATGCCGCAGCCACCCCTGCCTGTGCTACATCACACCGTGAATCACACTCTCACTCTGAGACAGGGTACACACCCCCACCTCCACAGTGCTTGAACTCTGCTCTTTTGTATCTGCTCGTGAGCCTCAGCACACCTTGATAAAGGTGCGGGGCAAGGAGCATTGTCCCTTGTACAAGTGAGAAAGCTGATAAGCAGAAACGTTAAGAAGGCTTTTCCATGGTCATAGGGGGAATTATTAGCATACCAATATTGAGCACTTGCTACATGCAGGCACTTAAAACACCACCTGCCTCATAACAACCCTGTAAAGTAAGTACCATTAGTCCCATTTTATAGGTGGCAAATTGAGGCTGGAAGAAGTTATATCACTTGCCAGTGATATCACTTGCCCAGAGAACAGGTGGCAAAGCTGGGATTTGAACCAAATCTGTCTGGCTCCAATGCCAGAGGTCTTTCCAAGAAATGGATCTGGTCATAGAAAACAGTAAAAGACTCTAAATGGCTGAGATTGAAGCAACTTCCAAGAGACCTCAAAACTTCCCAGTCCCAGCATCTTTTTTATGTATTTATTTATTTATTTATTTATTTATTTTCCTACTGGAGTTTTTAGCACTACAGACTCATAAAACCTGGTGAACTGGCCGTACTTACCAATATAGTTAACTCTATTTTCTATCCATCTATCTGGGATGATCTTGCTTTCAAGCTTTTATTAGGTGATTAAGTCAAGTAGCTTTTCCTTGTGAATATCTCCATTATTTGCTTTGCCTCCCTGTCAGGTTTTTCTTTTCTTTTGTTCACACACTGACCAAACAGTGAGCACCCACCAGTCAGATGTGGTTGGCAGAGGTGAGTGTGGCGCATCCCTGCCCTTAAGGAGTTCCCAGTTTACAGCAAAGGCTTCCAAAGGGCCTTCTATGGACAAAGCACCATGATAGGCCATAGAGGGAGAGGAGGACCACAAGGACCAGCCCTCAGAGAATCTCCTTCTTGGCTTGGGAGACAAGCTCACTACCCTTCTTAGATAATACACAGGTGTGAAAGACATGGTGAGTGTGGGCTGGGGGTGGGAGCAGCCAATCTTGAGTTTCCTGCGGTGCTGTTTTTAAACCCTGCCTTGCTGTGGTCGGTGCAGAATGCTGTGTCAGAGGCCAGCAGCCTGCAGCTTGGAAGGAGGCCTTTAAATGGGAGAAGGTGCTGGGAAGTACAGAGATGCATAAAGAAACAAGCTAAATTTATCCCTCCTTGCAGCACCCAGCAATTGCTATGCTTAACACTTGATTTCCTACCAACTGAGACTTGCTAACCAGATTAGTTGCTTTCCCCACAGCTAGGGGGAGAGAGAGAGAGGGAGAGAGAGAGAGGGAGAGAGAGAGAGGAGAGAGAGAGAGAGAGGGAGAGAGAGAGAGGGAGAGAGAGAGAGAGAGGGAGAGAGAGAGAGGGAGAGAGAGAGAGAGAGGGGGAGAGAGAGAGAGGGAGAGAGACAGAGAGACTCTGAAGACAGAGACACACAGAGACCTGAAGAGAAGCAAGGAGAAGCAGAGATAAAGGCATCTGTTGACATGTGTCCCCCTTGAGCAGCAGGAAAGGATATTAAACTGGGCACCTGAGTGGGAGAAATCAGACAATCTCCTGTCCCCTCCCTCCCTGGCTACATGATTCTGGCTAGTGCATTGCTAATTTCCAGATAGCACTGTTTTGAGATGTAAGTACATTGGTGATGTCTACATTATTTCTATTATCTTGGCCACTGCTCTGTCCCTGTCACCCACGACCACCCCTGAATAGCTGAGTTGACTGTAATTGGATAACATAAAAAAGCCATGATTAAAATAATCATTACAAGACTAAATATGCACATGCCTTTGACCTAGCATTGCCACCTCTGCTCCCATCCTAAGGAAAATAAGGAAGGACACAGGCAAAGATTTTAACATGAGATTACTAATTACAGCATTGTTTATAAAAGCAAGGAAACACACTAAACAGACAACCCCTCTTGGGGACCCACTAGATAGATGACCTTATAACCTTAGAGTAGCTTTGCATGCTGCTTGTAAATTAGGTTGTAAGTGGGGACTTATTGGTGTGAAAGACATGACTTATTAGGTGGAAAAAGCAAGTCACAAAACAGTGTAAATAGACTGACTCAATAAAAATATTCTTGTAAATAAGAATACATATAAAATATATAGTTAATCTCTGGGTGAAGGGATTCTAAGTCATTTAATTTTTTTTTCTTTTTGCTTATCTGCATTTAAAAAAAATTTTCCCCCACAATGAACATGTATTTCTTGTGCAATAAGAACACATTTCCTTCCATCGGTCCCAGCAAGTGCCTCCTGCCGGGAGCCCAGGACTGTATGAGTAAACTGAACGAGTCACTCCTAGCTCCCAGGCATTGTGGGTAAGGCCACCAACCTTTTTGTGACCACTTCAAGTTGCTCATTAAGAATTCCAAAAGCAGCATGTCCCCACCCTAGTCTGACTCCCCATCCCAGCTGGTCTTGTAGGCGAGAACTCAGTGACCTACCACCTTGGTATCCAAATGCCCAGTTGTTTCATTACCTGCTGGCGGGTTGGCCACCACCTTCCCTTGAGGAAAAATGCTGTTTGTGCAAGTTGGCACACGATAAAGCTAACCTCCCTAAAACCACAGACGCTTCCCACCTCCCAGGAGCACCCTCCCTTCTAAGGGGGTGAAATTAAGATGCTCTGTTGCTCAGACCAGTCCCTACCACACATATGCAGCTGCGATTCTAAATGCTGGTGAGAAAGGCTGTCACCATGGCAACTGGGGCTCGCTCAGCCTCTGGGATCGCCCAACACCCAGGGAAAGAAGGTGGGGTGGGAGTCAAAACAAACACCGCAGGGCTGTCTCACCTCAGGAAGGACACTTAGCCATTCTCTGACTCAGCCTCTGTATCTGCAGAGTGATGTGGAAGCTCCTCATCCTATCCACCTCCAGGATTAACGAGGAATAACCTGTGAACTATAAAACACAAGATGAGTAGAGCACCAGTGGCCTTGGTTTGTCCCCACATTGCTGTATGTGACTTTGGGCAAATCACATAAGCTTTCTGTGCCACAGCTGCTCTATTTATAAATAGGAAAACAATGTTCACTGTGATAACTTCCCAGATATATTGTCAGGCTCCTGTGAGAACCTCAGAATCTCAAAATTAGAAAGAATCTTAACCCTTACTGCCCATCCAGAACCCCTTCGATAAGTTCTCTAAGGTACTTGTCCTGTTTCTGCTTGATTACCTCTAGTGGCAGAGAGCTCATGACTACACAACTTCCCAATAGCCTTTGCTACATGATGCTGATTGTAAGAAAGTTCTTCTATATAGGATGTTTTACAGTTAAATATTTGTTTAAAAAATTAGCAGTCCTTTTTAGAGCTATTTTCAGTCTTGATTTTACCAGAAGCTCCCACAAGGTAGAAAACAGAGTAACTGGCAAGCTGCAGGGATAGGCTGGGCTCTGGAAGCTTGTGGCTCAGTTGAGTGGAAGGAGTGTGGGTTCCAGGGCCACGTATCATCCGTGTCAAAATCCCAGTTTGTCCATTTACTAGGTTGTTGATCTTGGGCAAGTTATATTACCTCTCTGAACCTCAGGCTCCTGAACGGCAGGGTGAAGAGAGAAATACCTACCTCATAGTACTTCTTAGTAAGCCTATAACCCAAACTTCCCCAGTAGATTCTGGAGATTTCAGGGGGTGGGGTGCTTACACCTTCCTCTGCCACACCCCCGAACAGCACATCTGCCCCCTGAGCCCCATCTGGCCCATGTGCCCTGGCTGTGCTCCTCTGAAAGGGAAGGAGAAGGCCTATCTCCCCCTCCCGGGGCATCGGCCACACAGCTGTCTTCCTTGGGTGGGGGCCTTCTCCACCTCAAGCCTGTTCCAGGGGCCAGAAAGGGAAGGTGATGCCATGGTTTCAGGACAAAGTTCATCCCCCCACCTGTAATTCATCTGCCTCAAGGCCTGCACCCACGTCCTGCATGCAGACCAGCTGGCACTAAACCAGTGTGCCAGGGTGTCACTTGGTGAGGGCTTTCGACTGTGTCATGTTTTGATAGGAATCTCACATAGGGCAAAGCCTCTAAGACTCCAGAAGAATGTAGTCTGGTGGTGGAATGCCAGGCATGGTAATGGGAAGTTGGGCAAAGCTCTTTGGGGATGGGAAAGTGGTCCTTTGCCTCAGTGTGAATGGAGTCAGGATGCCTTGGTCTAGTTCTGCCATTGACTAGCTGTGGGATCTCTGGAGCCAGTGACTTAATTTTTCAGTGCCTTGCTCTCCTCCTGTGCGGAATGACAGGTGGGCTCCTGAGCCCTTCCTTGCTTTAGAATTCTAGGATTTCCCATTTGTTAGATGAAGGATTAAATGGAAAATCACCATCAACCTCTCTTGGCCACAGGTGCTGACCTTCCTCTCCTCTCTGCTTCCTCCACAGGCGAGTACCTCAGATTCCTTAATGTGGGTGTGGCTGAAGTGAAGAAATACTTCCTGGGGCCCCTGGCCCCCTCCTGCAAGATGGTGCAGATGATGAGGCAGTTTCTGTACCGGGCCCTGCCTGAGGACTCCTACAAGGCTGCCACGGGGAAACTCCACGTCGGCCTCACCCGGCTCACGGACGGAGAGAGTGTTGTGGTCTCAGAGTATAGGTCCAAAGAAGAGCTCATCGAGGCAAGGGGGCAGGGGCGGGGGCGGAGGGGTGGGCGGGGCCCAGAGTAGGGGCGGGGCCTCCGAGTGGGTGGGACAGGGAAGGAGAGGTTGGAGGGCTAGCTGGCCCAGCTTCTCTTGACTGGCCCCTGGGATGATCTACCTATCTTCCTCCCTTCCTTCTATTTTCTGCTTTCCTAATCCTTCCCTTCATTCACCCTCCTGACATCCGTCTATGTCAGGCACATTGTTAGAGGAGATGGGCAGAGAGAGGCAAGATGGGCCAAGGCAAATCCAACTTGGTCGCCATACTCAAGACTTCAGCACCCAGAGTCCCCCAGGGGCTTAGCACCTCCTTTTGCCTTTGCCCTGCCCTGGCGCTAATCCTGGAGCTTCCCAGAGGCCCAGCGTTACCCGCAGAGGCCCCTTGTCTCCTTTAGGGCCTCTCAGTTTAAATTACTCCGTTTGTGGCTACAGCCTTCCTCTCTGCCCTGCTCTTCCAATGGTCCTTGACAAAAGGATTGAATTATCACTAAATGGGTTATCACTGAGGAAAGTGCTCTCTAACAGTGTACGTTCTAACCTCATTAGTATAAAATTTAGCTATGAATTACTATTGCTGGAGAATGCTGTGGATATACCCAGTTTTCATTCATGATGAAGGGGTTAAGCTGCATGACCCTCTGTCCTATATTTTTATTCCCCTCCCCTCCCCTGAATACGAGGTCCTTGCCCCATGTCCTCAGATCCCCACACCGGCCTGGCCGTGACCCTGGGGGTGGAGGGTGAACAGGCAATGGGCGTGGATACCTCCTCTACCAGCCTCCTGTCCACCTGGGTTTGTCAGCACCAGCTCTTCAGCACTTTTCTCTCCAGTCTTCTTCCACCGCCTTCCACTTCTCTCCATGCCGACCAGAGCAAACCACACACACAGCAGTCTTTGTGCCTTTGTGCCTGCTACACCCTCTGCCTGGGAGGCCCCTCTCTCCTCATTCCCCTTCACCCGCTTGAGAAGACTCCTACCACTCCTGCTGGGGAACTTTCCTTCATCATCCGCATGTCCCGAGGTTCCCCCAGTTGGGTGCTCCTCCTTTGGGGTCACAATGCCCATGCTCACCTCTATCACAGCACCTGTCACCCCTATTTGCTTACTACTCCCCCTCTTTCAGCATTCCCAAGGTGGGCATTGAACTCTCCTTTGAGGCCAGGGCCTGACCCAAGCCAGATATGCATTGATGCTTGTTGAATACCATTGGACTTCTGGAAATTTAGTGCTGGAAGGGACCCTGAAGATCACTGAGGTCCCCCTTTCCCTTTAAAGCTAGAACATCAGGCCCAGACTGACCAACTTGGTTACCAAGGGCCCAACTAGTTAGGGCCAGGACAGCGACTAAACTTGGGAGGAAGGCGGTGCCTCCACCTTGGGTTTAAGGAAGGCCTTGCTGGCGGTGCCCAAGGCCCCATGGCCTCAGGCATCTCAGCCCTGTTCTCCCCCCGCAGGCCCTCTACTGCAGCTGCTTTGTCCCTGTGTACTGTGGTCTCATCCCCCCGACTTACCGTGGTGTGGTGAGTGCTTCAGCGTGGGAGGGGGGCGAGCCAGGATCCAGGGGTGCCTTGGGGACCCTGTGACCCACATCTGAGAGAGCAGAGGGGTGGTCTCAGAATTCAGTGGGAAGAACAAGCATTGGAAAGGCTCCTATGTTTTCCTATTCAGAATTCCCGGCATAAATAGGTTTCAGGGGCTTTAAGATGAACTTTCCCAACTAGATTGGGCTTCTCTCCGGACACACCAATTGTTTACTGAACCCGGCAAACCAAGATGTGGTCGGCTTTTCAGATTTGCTCAGACTCAAAAGAGAGTATAAAATGCAGACCTACCCTGGCTAAGGTGGCTTAGGGGCTGGAGGGTCCGGCAGCCGGAAGGTTGTGGATTCAGTTCCCGGTCAGGGCACACACCTAGGCTACAGGTTCATCCTCAGTGTGGGTGCAGGCCTGTGAGATGCCGGGTCCAGATGTGTGGGGTCCCTGGTCCTGGCACGGATCCCCAGTCTGAGGATTGGAGGCAGCCAGTCGATGCTTCTCTCCCATTGATATTTCTCTCTCTCCTTCCCTCTCTCTCTAAAAAAACAAATGAAAGTGTCCTCAGGTGAAGATTAAAAAATTATAAATAAAAAATAAAAAATACAGACCCTGCAACACTGGGACCTGAAACCTTGAATGATAGAGACCTTCAGGGTCATCTAGGCTAGTGCCCCCCAAACTTTAATGTGCCCAAGAGTCCCTCAGGAATCTTGTAAAATAATGCAAATCTGATCCAGTCAGCCTGGGGCAGGGATGAGACTCTGCACCTCTGACAGGCTTCGGCTAATGTCAGTGCTACAGTCCGCTGCTGGTCCCCTGCTGGTCCCCAGACTTCGGCCTGAGCAAGAGGGTCTAACCCATGCCCCCCTCCTCATTTCATATGTAGAGAAAATGAGATCCAGAGATTAAGGTTCAGCTAGAAGATGGAGCCCAGCTTGTATGTTAGCCATGTACTTCTCGGTTACCCCAGAGAGTTAGAGCTTCAGTATCTGTGGTCCTTTGCTTGTAGCGGAGGAAACAGAAGCCCCAGAAGGAAGGGACTTGAGGGTGGACACGTGGTGGCCGGTCAGGGGTGCTCTGAAGAGTGTCAAAGGGGCCTGACCTCATCTGCGGGGCAGGTTAGACCTGGGGCCGTCTAGAGAGAGCCCTTCCCAAGCTGCTCAGACCCACCAGGCACCCTCCTCCTCCTCAGGCCATGGGAGCGAACTCATCCCCCAAGCCTCCCCTCAGCCACTGAGTGACCCCAGGAGGGGTAGTCCGAGATGGGTAACTGTGATGGGGAGCACCTGCTCCTGCTCTATCCAGTCAGTGTACCGATGCTCCTTCCCTGCAGAGGCCTGGGAGCCCCATCTCAGCACCAGTAAGATGATGGAGGGGAGCCCGTGCGGGAACAGCATGGTGGTCCAGAAGCTACTGTGGGCTCACCCTGCGACCTTGGGCACACCATTCACCCACCCTCACCTTGGTCTCGAGGTTCCTCCTGAGGGACCCATTTCCTTGGCGTATTGCCCTCTGACCCCACATGAGCATTTCTCCCTCCGCCTCCTACAGCGGTACATCGATGGGGGCTTCACGGGCATGCAGCCCTGCTCCTTCTGGACTGACTCCATCACCATCTCCACCTTCAGCGGGCAGCAGGACATCTGCCCCCGGGACTGCCCCGCCATCTTCCATGACTTCCGCATGTTCAACTACTCCTTCCAGTTCTCCCTGGAGAACATCGCCAGGATGACCCACGCCCTGTTCCCCCCAGACCTGATGGTGAGAGAGAGGGACACGGAGGGGTGGGGGATGGGGATGGTGGCGGGGGCTGGGGTGCAATGGGGGAGCCCATGGGGCCCACTCAGTTTCCTCTGTGTCTCCTCCCCTCAAATGATCCCTTAAACTTCCTCCTCAACCTGTGTCCTGGCCTTTTCTCTAATGAGCTGTGAGATCTTGAACAAATCCCCTAGGCCTCCCAGCCCCAATATTCTCCACTGCAAAACGGTGATGTCGGAATCACTGATAGGAATGTTAACTGAACTCTGATGTGCAATGTCAGGTCAGCAAACTATGGCCCATGGGCCACATCCAGCCCAGAGCTTGTTTTCGTACAGCCTGTGAGCTAAGAACAGGTTTGTCATTTCTAAAGGACTCTGAAAAAAGGAGGAGAAGAAATGACGGAGACTGTGTGTGGCCTGCAAAGCCCCAAATGTTTACTACTTGGCCCTTTACAGAAAAGGCTCTGTGGGCACATTCGTGTGATCCTTCAGCATCCTCTGCAATAGATATTATTATTATCCCCATTTTACAGATGAAGAAACTGAGATCGTGAGAGGTTACACTCACACAGCCACATAGGCAATATGTGGAAACACTGGGATTTGAACCCAGTCTCCACACTTTGCTCTTCATATGGCCCAAAGGTGCTGTCTCTGCTTCTACTATAAACACCTCACCATCTCCCACCCCAGGGAAGCTGATGTTTGGCCGTGAGTGGCTTCATACATTGATATAACATCATGATGGACACGTGACAAGGAGCTGCTCCCAGTCCTTAGCAGAGAGTCAAGGATGGGGCACGAGATGGGTACATTTTGAAGAGCCCATCAAATAAAGCCCAAGAGCAACGAAAGCAGCTTCTCTGGGAGAGGGGACCTCAGCTGTCGCTGTTGCTGCAGCCTGAGTGTCTTCCTGGTGTGCCCACCTTGCAGGTCCTGCACAATTACTACTACCGAGGGTACGAAGATGCCGTTTCGTACTTAAGGAGGCTGAGTAAGTACCATGCGGAGTCTGAGGAGGGGGCCCTGGGGGGTGGACAGAGACAGGAAGTAGAAGGGCTGAGTAAAGAGACATTCCCCTCAAATCTGTGATCTAAAGGTGCCCTTCACCCAGGACAGCCGGACATGGGCACAGGGACCGGACAGCCTGCTGTGTCCAGGACAGGCCACTGAGGCCAGAAATTAGGGTCTCCGTGTGAGAGGGGCTGTTAGGGTAACTGATGGGACTTCCTGGGCTTCATCAAATATGTTTCTGGACTTAAAAACTGTACTCAGGAAATACATAGCTCATACCTTCCATTCTCATGTCATTTTGTTCTCTTCCATTTTTATTCTCTTTCCAATAAAATCGTATTGTTAATGTAGAAATAGATGCAACTAATTTATATTTATATAAGACTTTGAATGATCAACATATTGATCAACAAATGAGAACAAAGAGCCCTTGCCCTATGTTGGTTTGGAAAGAGTAAATGATAATGGAAAAGTTATAATAAAAAGTAAACTACTAAAAAAAGAAGAGAGAGAAATCCTGGTCCTCACACCTGTGCACCGTCGGGCAGAAGGGAGATTCTAATAATAGGTATGCATAACGCACTTAACATGGCGAAGGTCACGGCGCATACCTCTGTTAAAAGGAAAGAAACAAGCTTTTCCATATTTAGAGTTAATTCTATAGAACATATTTCCAAAACAAAGGGGTTGCTGGATCCGAGGTCGCTTCCCAACGTTCTGTCATGTGTTCTCCGTGTTGTCGTGTGGTCTTTATAACTGTTTGGGGGAAGTTGTGTAATATCCCATCACAGTTGGACAGAAGACTTGGATCTCTCTTTTGAGTTTCCAGGTGCTCAGTAAGCACCGCTGTGGTGGCCTTTTTGTGCATGTGGATTTTAAACACATTTGGGGAGTGAGATTAAGGGGTTGAATGAGGTTTTTTCCTAGGGTATATTCACTTTTTTTTTCCTTTCAAAATTGCTCCCAGCTTTCCCAAGGTCCCCTTGTCCTGACCCTTTACTTTCTCCCGACAAGGGTGGGGGTTGGGGTCATGAGAGCAGGATGGAGAGAATGTGGGCTCCGGAGGGTACCCACCCCTCTGGCTGTGTGAGCTCAGGGAGTGCACTCCACCCCTCTGAGCCTTGGTTCCCTAATCTGTAAAAGAGTTTGGAACCTGGTTCCTGACACCTACCCACTGTGTGACTTACAGCAGGCAGTTAACCTGGGGCTTCAGTTCTCTCATCTGGTCATGGAACCTACCTCGGAGGTCATTGTGGAGGTTAAAGGGGTGAAGCCACCTGCAGCCCTTATCACAGTGCTCAGATAACTGGTAGTTCTTGCAGTGACATCATCTATGTCCTTGCTGAGGTCAGTCCAGTCCCCTGCCCCCTGTGACCTCCGAGACAGGCCCCTCCCCCACCCCTCTGCAGGACAGACTCCTTCTAACCCTGACTGACCTCTGGAACCCCACCATCCTCCACATTTACACAGGTGACATTAAAGTTGTGAAAAGTGAGCCCCAGCTATCCAAGAGGTGAATGTCTTGAGGGGTGTCATGGGGGGAGTAGATATAGGGCCTCAGGAATAAGAGGGGCTGGCTCCTGAGGCCTAGGGTCCTTTTGCCACCAGTTAGGGGACCCTCCATGCTTTCCTCAGTGGCAGTATAGGCTGGGGACCCAGGGTTTGGGGGATTCTCTGATTTGGGGCTCAGATCTTGGAGCAGATACTAATGTCCTGCCCCAGGAGACCCCTCTCCACCCCAGGTTACAGCCTGGCTACTGGCTACTTCAAACCAGTCCCTCCTCTAGAAACTTTCCTTTCATTTCCTCGCAGGGCAAGCCCTGGGGAGGGTCATAAAGTAGGTGCTTAAGCATCTCTAGTTCCCTTCCCTTATTTCTCAGTAGCACCTTCTCCCACACTTCTGCCTCTGGGAAGGACCCCGTGCCTTCCACCCTTAGCTGGCATGGACATTTTCGCAGGTAGGAATGGTGGTCCTAAACCCAAGGATAAAACTCTAATAGTAGCATTTCAGGCACCCACTCCTGACTTGGGACGGGATGAGGAGGATGGCGGGATTTCCCAATGGACCTGGAACCACTCCAAGTAGGAACAGACACAGGTCATAAGGGAGACCAGCTCGTTTTACCTCCTCTTCCAGTTTGCCAGGGTGTGTGTGGCTCTCCAGTGCAAGTTTCAGCGCCACCACCTAAAGCCTCTTGGGTCTGGCCAGGCTGGATTTTTCTCTCATCACCAGCGTGAGCAGGAGGTACTGACACAGCCTGAATAAGGGGGGTCTTAATCCCTACTTGCCATCTGGGAACAGAAAGGGGGAGTCTACCCCAGCCTCCCACCCAACCTCTTTCTGGGGTGCAGGGGGTGGGGGGTCAGCTCCAGCAGGAAGCCACATTCACAGGTGTCACCCTCGACTCAACCCACGCCCTGGCCCCTCTTCCTCCCCCTCCTAAGGAACCACATGCATTTCATTATCCCTGCTGCTGGGCAAGTCCCCCTCTCCAAGCCTGGCCTCCCTGGCAGCAGCCTTCTGCCAAAGGGAAGGGCGTGCTCACTGGTGGGCTCGAACACCCTCCTTCCCCACACGGACGTCTGCGGTGGGCGTTGAGTGAGGTTGGAGCTCAGACGATGCCATGTTTAAAAATAGCCATTTTGCCTCCAGGTCCCTCCAGCCAAACCCACCTACCTCCCTTCTTCCCTCCCCTCCTGCCTTCCTGCCATTCTTCCTTTTCTCTCCCTCCCTTCCTACCTCTCACAGTTTGATGTTTTCACACACACACACACACACACACACACACACACACACTTGTGAAACAGCATCACAATCAGGGCAGTGAACAATCCATCATGCCACACACACACACACACACACACACACACACACACACACCCCCCTGTGCAACAGCCAGACCAGGGCAGGGAACAACGCACCAAGCCCGAAGTTTCCTCATGCCCCGCACCGACGCCCACCTTCCCTCCCCTACTCCCAATCCCCAATGGACCCCTGATCTACTTTCTGTTGTTATAGATGAATCGCATTTTCTGGAGTTTTTGATAAGTGGAATCTTACAGTGTGAAATCTTTTTTGTCTGCGTTCTTTTACTCAGCGTAATTATTCTAAGATTCACCCATGTCATTATAGCATGGTATAACTAGTTCACCCCTTTTACATTCCATTCCGTTGTGTGAATGTACCACAGCTCATTTAGTCATTAATGTTAATGGACATGTAAGTTGTACTCCCTTCAGACTATTATGAGTAAAGCTGCTATAAACACCCATGTACGTATCTTTGTATGGACATGATGCTTTTATTTATCTTGGGTAAGTACCTAGCAGTGGAATGATTATACCATATGGTAGATGTGTTGTATTTATATAAATAAAATTATATACAATTATGTGTAGTTCTACTATATAATTATATATAATTTGTATATATAAAATTATGATAAAAGCACATAATATAAATTTACCATCTTAACCATTTCTAAGTGTATAGTTCAGTAGCATTAAGCACATTTATACTGTTGTAAATTCCAGAACTTTTCAGCTTGCAAAACTGAACCTTGTCCCCGTTGGCCAGCGACTCCCCATCCGCCTCCCCCAGCCCCGGCCACTGCCCCTCTACTTGCTGTTTCTAAGGGTTTGACTGCCTTAGATACCTCACATAAATGAAGTGTATGTACAGTATTTGTAACGTTCTCAAGGTTCAAACATGTTGTAGCATGAGACTGGATTTTCTTCATTTTTAAAGCTGAATAATATTCTAACGTGTGTATATACATTTTCTTTGTCCACTTAGTCACCAATAGACGCATGGTTTGTTTGCACCTCTTGGCTGCTGTAGGCAATGCTGCAGTGGATATGAGTGTGGGAAGATCTCTTTGAGATTCAGTGTTCCATTCTTTTGGTGGTTTTATGAAAGCACCAAACTGTTTTCCAAAGTGGTTGCATCATTTTACACTCTCACTGAGAATCTATGAAAGTTCCAGTTTCCCCCAATTTTCACCAACACTCGGCATGGCAGGCCTTTTTAATTCTAGCCGTCCTGATGTGTGTGTAAGTGTATCTTACTGTGGTTTGAATGTGCCTTTCCTTAACGACGAGTAATGTTGAGCATCTTTTCAGTTGCTTCTTTGTCATCCACGTAGCTTCTCTGGTGAAGTGTCTGTACCACTGTTTTGCCCATTCCCCCTAGACCTTCAATAAGCTTTATTTTTTAAACCAGTTTTAGGTGTACAGAAAAAGTATGAATATAGTACATCCAGGTTTCCCCATTATTACGTTTCACATTTATTAGATGTTACAGTACATAGTATGGTATATTGTTTATAATTAATGAACCGACATTGATAAATTATTATCAACTAAATCTATACTTCATTCAGATCTTCTTAGTTTTTACCTAATGTTCTTTTCCTGATCCAGGATCTTATCCTGGATAGCCCCTTACATTTAGTTGTCATGTCTCCTTGGGCTCCTCACGTTTGTGACAGCTTCTTTGACCCTCCTTGTGTTTAGTGAGTTCCATCCTGGGTTCTAGTCCTGGCCAGGTATTTTGCAGAGTGCCCTCAGCTGGGGTCTGTCTGATGGTTTTCCCATGATTACACTGGGGTCGTGGGTCTGAGGGAGGAAGACCCCCAAGGCAAAGTGCCACTCTCCTCACATTTTATCGAGGGTGCCTACTACCTACGGGACAGACACATCGCTGGTGATGTTGACCTTGCTCACCTGGCCGCAGCAGGGTCTGTCAGGTACTCCACTGTGCAGTTACTCTTTCTCCTCTTTCCATTCTGTGCTTTTTGGAAGGAAGTCACTATGCATAGTTTACACTGAAAAAGTAAGGGATTAAACTCCATTTCCTTAAGGTCAGGATGTCTGCATAAATTATTTAGACATCTGCATGGAAGATTTGTCTCTTCTCCCCCATTACTTATTCAATCATTTGTTTATGTATGTATGAATTCATGGGTATGTATTTTATACTTTGGGCTATTATTCAACTCTTTATTTTTTTACTCAAATTGTTCCAGCTTCAGCCATTGGGTGCTGTTTCAGTTGACTCTTTTGCCTATTTTTTTTAAAAAGCTGCATTGTTTGTTTCGTTATTTAAGAGCTTTTATGTTTTCTAGATAAATGCCCTTTGTCAGGAATATTGTTTGTAAATATTTTCTCTCCGTCTGTGATTTCTCTTATCAGCAACTTTTAAGTCTACCCCAGTCTTGTCTATCTTAGAAAGCTGGCCCTGGGTCCCCTCGCTCTCCTGTCCCCCAACACAGTCCTGGTCCCTCCCTCTTCTCACTCTGTGGGGCCTCCCTGGGCAGTTTCGTCCACAGCCACAATCGCAGCTTCCGTTCTGCCTGGGGTGGGGCTCCCACAGGCAGGCATCTCTAACCCTCATCTCTTCTCTGAGATCCAAACCCGTACATACAGCAGCCCCCTTGTCATCTCTCCTTGGGCCTCTCCGAGGCCCCCTAAACTCAACATGTCCCCTAACAAGCTTGTGACCTGTGCTCGCCCCAATCCCCGCTCCTCACCCCCTCCCTCCCATGGTCACATTCTCAGCAGATGGCACCAACATCCATCGATTGGGCTGGCCACCTACCTCCCCACACCCCCAAATCAATCCACCACCAAGTCTCATTCATTTACCTCCTAAACAGAAGCTCCCACTGATTTCTACCTTCTTCCAGGTACAAACCCCAAACACTTCTCCACAGCACCCTGGCAGGTTTCCCTGGGCCCCCATACCCTTGTCAGTGAGTCCCCATGCAGCAGCCACAGTGACCTTGTCAAAGTCAGAGTCAGGTCAGCACATCCCTGCCTAGAAGTCTCCTGGTCTCCATGGAAACCAAGCGTCCTCAGTGTGGCCTGCACGTCCCTGCATGATCTGGTCCCTGGGCCTCCTCAGCCCCACCTCCCACCACAGTGCCCCACGCCGGCTCCAGCCACACTCCCTCTCCGGCCCTCAATGTCCTGATGCTCCTTTGAACCTCGGCCTCTGTGTGTGCTGTTCCCTGCATCTGAAACAGTGCTCCTCCCACCCCACGCTGACCATCCCCTGACCACCCGCCCTTCAGATCTCAGCCCAGATGTGTCTCCCTCAGGGTAGCCTCCCAGTTAAGTCCTCCCTACCTCCCTTTCTCCTAGTTCTGTGTGCTCCCTTGCCCAGCACTTGTCTTGATTAAAACTTGAGATTATCTGAGCGGTCAGGACCAGTCTTACCTATCTTTGTTTCCTTCACCTCCTCAGTGCCTGGGGGAATATCTGGCGCATATAGGTACTCAATAAATATTCACTGAGTAACTGAATCAATCCACAATCAAATACTCAATGTAAATTCAAGTAAGTAAAGAAAGGCCATTGATGAGAACTAATAATTTTTATAGTTTATAAAAATAATTTGGAAAAAAGTAATTTTTTGCAAACACCCTGCTGATATCAGAAGTTAGTAATGCTACTTGTGACCCCATGCTCTTGTTTTTTTCTAGATGCTGCTTACATTAATTCTCCCTCCAAGAGAGTGATTTTCCCCCGGGTGGAAGTGTACTGCCGGATAGAACTCGCCCTTGGCGATGACGGTCCTGAACGCAGTAAACCAAGCCGCCAAACCGAGCAGGCCAGTCTGGAAGAACCCACGCAACCTCACACTCAGCAGGCTCCCAAAGGGGAAGGAAGCGGTGGCCACGGTCCACCTGTGTCCCCACCTGAACAGACACCTGACTCCGCACAGGAGTGGACTGTGGAGTCACCCGTTTCACCACCTGTCTCTTCATTTGAGCAGTCACCTGCATTGCCACCGGCCTCCTCATCCTCACATTGTCCAGCTGACTCACTGCCTGTATCACTTCCAGCCTCGCCCTCACCACCCAGCTCAATACCTGACCTACCACCTGTGTCACCGCAGCAGCAGGCACGACCGACTGGATCGCCACCCCGATCTCCACCCTCCCAGTCATCTATGTCACTCAGGCCACCTGTGGGGCCTTCCGCGGTGGAGACACCTCAAATGTTGCCTCCATGTTCTTCCGCATCACCTGCACAGTCACCCGTTGAGGGCCTGGGCTCAGAACAGCCCCAAGGTATGGATCACCTGGCTTCTCCTGGCTTCCTCATGTCCAGAGCCCCTTGGCAAGCGTATGACAACATGGTGGCTGATAACCATTGCTTTAGAGGGCTGCGCTGGTGAAGTCAGGGTTAGCTGCAGGGGCTCTCCCTGGAATGAGGACAAGCCACCCCAGGGGGCAGTGTACTTGACATTTGTTCATTTCTTTAGTCCAGTGATTCTCGAAGTGTGGTTTCCAACCAGCAGCAACGCATCACTTCAGAACTCATTAGAAAAGAGAATTTTCAGGCCCTACCACAGACTTGCTAAATCACAGACTCTGGAAGTGGTGGAGGGGGGGACCCAGCTGTCTCTTTTACAAGCTCTCTGGGTCATCCTTTTGCCTGCTTATGTTTGAGAAATGCTGTTCTGGTAAATTTTTGTTGTTATAGCCGCTGTGCCAGGCAGTGTGAGGCAGAGCGTGGTCATGGAGCACTGCCAGTTGCCTAACTATCTGCTCCTAGTTCACAACGAAATGAGTGCAGGGATCAAGAGCCAGCAGTTAGAAATGTTTGCATGCATGGCAGCAATAAGCTACTGCCATGGTGTCGAAGAATTTACCTAATTCATTTTATTGTATTTTTCAAAAGTACTGGTCTATTATGGACTGCAAACAGGGTTTTCAAAAACAGGTCCTTTGCTGCAGACGGTCTGAGAAGCACCACGCTAGGGGCTGCAAAGACGAGCAGTTCTCGGTTCCTTACTCTCAGGAAATCTCCCCTCTGCAGAGGGAATGACATGAATACCGAGCTCTAAAATACAAGATAAATTATTAAGTTCCGTATTACTAACAAAAACATGCTGGGGGTATTCACGCAGAATGAGATCGCTTCTCTCTGGGGGTAAGGAAGGCTCTTGGAGAGGACCCGGTGAGATGAAATGAGCAGGATATTGACACGCGTGGTCTGTGGGGTGGGACAGGGCAGACTAAAAAGAGTATTTCAGATTTTGCTTATTCTAGAAGCTCAGGTACAAAGAAAGAAAGTGCAAGGTACATTCAAGATGAAGAGGATACCTGTTTGGTCACCGTGGATGTCCAGGGTGGGGCAAATGGGGAGGGAATGAAACCAGGTTGTAGAGTCCTTGCGGTCCATCAGCAAACTTCCACAGATGAGCAAGCTTTCCTTCTTTTCAGACCTACCCCAAGCCACAGGTGGCCCTTTCTCTGGAGTAGGTTTACTTTGATTCTTTTCATTGCAATGAGACAAAAATATAAGGACATTAAGAGACAGAAAATTGGTCGAAATGTTTCACATGCTCTCTTATTATCCTGTTAAATAAAATGCACTTATTTTATGTTATCACATCTGTGCCTAAAGGTGTGACCTTCAGGGGCCCGAGCAATCCTGGGTCCTAAGTCAGCATTCCTCCCTCATACCTCATACTGGGGGTGGGCAGAGGGTATGGAGAGCCCAGCCAGGGCCGATTTTACCCCCAGGAAACATGAGGCAATATCTGGAGGCCAGAAATGCTGCTAAACTTCCTACAATGCACAGGACAGACCATAACAAAGAATTGTGGCCCTTAAGACAGTAGTGCTGAGGGTGAGGGGCCCTGTTAGAGCCTCCAGCGGAGCCTCTACTGTGCCCTAAGGCAGCTGTGGCAGCTGGGCAGAGAGGGTTAGTGTTGCCAGTCAGGTAGCAATGGCCGTGCTGTTGGGTGGGGTGCTGCAATAGGCCCTAGGAAAACCTGTAAACGAAGGAACTGCAAATCAGTTTGAGATATCCACCAGCTCTCCAAATGAAAGAGCTTTAGGTAAGAGTCCATATTTTTTTTACGTGTATTGCATTATTATATAGTAATCTTCATGTATTATATATCCCTGTACTCTGAAAACATGCAAAGGGCTTACTTAAGAACAATGGTCATAAAACTACTAATACTTTCTATTCCAACAACAACAACAAAAACCAGAAAAATGAATTACATAAAGCAGGTAATGGAAGGGTCAGTCCCTGTGGTGTTTTTCCTGGAAACGCTCTGCTCCTTGGCATGGCCGCTTTTTGTGAGGGGATCGTCGATGATGTTGCGTGAAGGTCAGCATCAGCCCTCCTCAGAGGCCACTGCATTGCTGTCGAATCCAACAATATGGCTTTGGTCCTAAACATGAGAATTTGAGAAAGAGAGAGTTCTTTGCTCTTTCTGAACACTCTTGCTTACTTTCTATTGTTCTATCAAAAGTGACTAAATACCCCTGCCCCACGCCATCTCACTCTTGTCTCCTACATTTTTATTTCTTTTTGCTGTAGTTCCTCTTGCCTCATTAATTCCCCCAAGTACGGGGCCCCTGGTGAGTGTGAAGGAGTCCACCAGCAAGCCAGACACCTTGTAAGTTTCTCCTTCACTGAGAATGCATTCTTTCCTTTGATGGGAGTGGGGCAACTAAGTGACATTTTCCGTCCTGTCAGCTGCCTTAGGAACATTGGGGTCCTTTTCTAGTTTGTGCAATTGCAGACTATCATTCCTCTCCGGTCTTCTTCAGTGGGGATGGTGTGAGAGAAATGGGCCTACTCGTGCCGACGACATCATTCTCTTTAGCTTCCTGCTGCACGCACTAGGCATGCACCTACTCTGAGTGCAGTGCGACACTCCGGTGACATCTCAGTTCAAGAGAGCAAGCGGGCTGCTGCATCCTGGCCTTGGATAGCCAATGTGTGCTATGAACTGAGGGCCTCCCTTAATCCAAAAGATTTTTTATTGGCATGATAAGGAAGCTAATATTCCTGTGTTGTAGATTGTCCCCGGAAAAATTGTATTTACAGTGTGCATCAGTCATCTGGGTTGTATAACGGGCTCCACAATTATCTTTGTGGCCATTAGGTGCAGCCCGAGCATCTCTACACTTTTGAGTCCCCAGGCTCCCTTTCTGCTGGACACCAGTTGGGTTAGTTTGTGGGAGGACAGTGGGAGGTCAGAGGGTGGGTCAAGGGCATTTCTGCCCTGAACCTCATGCCCGCCTGCCCAGGCCGCTCTGGCAAGGGCGGGGTCCCTCTGGAGCCACAGCGAGACTGATGAGGAGAGCAGGGCCTGCTACTTTTGAGATTCCCACCCCATAGCATGTCATATCAAATACATTAAAATATACCTGATTCTTTCACCTAATGTAATTTTAATTATAAAACTTTCTGTAAGAGTTTGCATATATTTAATAATTTTGTGCTTGGGCATAAATTATGCTTTTTATTCACATGATTTAAACTATTGCCTTGACAAATAACTATGTAAAAGTTTGAATTTCTATTGACTAGTTAGCATGGTGTTACCCAGATAAATATTCACTGATTATGAAGTAAAGGTCATGGGGAACTCTGATGCTCCCAGGACTGAGAAGCACAGCACAGGAGTGTCTGATACCTTCTGAGCTGGAGCAGGGCCCTGAGAGTGGAGGACGGGGCATCAACAAACCACTCACTGCCTCTCTCTGCCCAGAGCGAGCCCCGCTGCAGGCCCCCGCTGGGCCAGCGAGGTATTCAAGAAGAACAAACCGAAGGCAAGTGGCCTGAGAAAAGGCTTCCCAAGACAACCACGATCCAAAAAACCAGGCAGCAAAGTGCAGTGAGTATGACTAATGTTTCTTAAATTCTGCAGGCAGGAGCAGCTTTGGGAATGGTCTACAGGAAGATTACAAGGGAGGAGGGGGGAGGGAGTCAGGTGTGAGGGTTAGGAGCTGGGCTCTGGGGTTGGATGCACCCAAAATGAAACCTGCAATCTGCCACGGTCTCGCTCAGCATGCTTAGGATACGTGGCCTCTCTGAGCCTCTATTTCCTGATCTGTAAACTGGAGCTGATACCAACTCATGAAGCTGTTGTGAGCATTTAGTGAAGTCAACTGTGTGCATTGCTTCTCAGAGAGCAAGATGCACAACAGCACTTGATAATTAGCAGATCCCACAGTTCTGTAACTACCAGAGGTTGGCTAACTACCTCTCAGCTTCTGAAGAGAACTGCACTAGAAAACCAAACTAGAGAGGTCAGTGCCCACATGACCCTCAACATGTAAAGCTCCTAATTGTTCCCACCCTCCAACTAAAAGCCCTAGTCAATGTAGGCCAGCTTCTTATAGCTTTTTGACTATATTATATTGTCATTGATTTACTCGATGGACATTTATTACCTAGTAAGTGCCAAGCACTCTTCTGGGCTCTGGGGAAATCAAAGATGAATTAAACTCGATCCCCAACTCTCAAGAGTTTATCTTGAACTTTGAACTTAAGACCAAAGACAAGAATAAAACCTACTAATTTGATGAACTATGAGCCTCATATAAACCAAGCCTTAAATTTTTCCTTTTTTTTTTTTTACTGAAATGATAACATTGTTAAAGGCACACACCTACATACATACATACCCACAGACTCAAAATGCCAGCCTCAAACACAAACCAAGCCAGGTGTCATCTATAATTATTTTCCTGGATTATCAAAGTATTCTCCTAAAGGGACAGACCCACATTGCTATATAGTTTGCTTCAAGCTTTATTGCTCAGAAAAATACCCAGTCCTTCTAAGGGACATCCTTTTGGGTTGCTCCCGTGCTGAGTGGGGGTCCCTGGGTGGGTGGGGGAGTATTAGGTAGACGAAGTCAGAGTCTCGCCTGGGGCAGGTAGGTGCTTTGAGGGTCGGGGGAAGCAATAGGGTGGGGAGGAGATTCTCAGGGCTGTTACAGGAAGTGGGGCAGACCCACGGGGCACTTTCTGGATTAATGGATGGGCAGGGAGCATGCAGGGCCCAGCAGGCAGTTCGGGGTCTCTGATGGTCACTGTGTCAGTGCAGTCTGAAATTATTCTCATTCTGTTCCTTGGTGTCCATCTCCAAGACTTCCTTGACCTTTGGGTGTCATATCTCTGACCCTAGGTCGTGAGAATGCAGGCTGGTCTGCAGTGGGTGTGGGGAAGCCTTCCTGGCTGGGAGCCAGGGCCCGACTCAGGTCCCCTGATTCCTGGGCCAGCCTCTTCCCGCACATCAGAGCAGTGGGAACTATGCATTTCAACCAGAGCTGCCATGGTTGGCAAACTTCTAGGAATCAAGGTGCTTTATAAAAAGCAGACGGTGATGAAAACAAATAAACAACACTCACAAGCTGTGAGAGACACCCCAGCGGGACCCAGGAATGCTGTCAGTGGATTACACATGCTGTGTCCAGTACTCCTTTATTAGCACAGGCTGCAAAGCTGCCTGAAGGCAACCCACTGTGGATCATCTTAAGCAATCCCATACAGACTCACTGCTCTGAGCGTCAAAGACCAGGGTAGGTGCAGAAAAGAGAAGCTCAAAAGTGTTAGCCATAGAGAAGGGGGAGTGAATTGCTCATTCCTTCCCAAACTGCCATCACAGGGACACCGTCACAGCCATGGGTGAGTCCTGTGTAAACTCCTGGTCCCCAGCTGATATCCCTCCCAACAAAGACAAGAGAGGCAGAAATGAAAGCTACAGCGTAGGTGTTCCATACGTTAATATGTGTGTGAGTGTGCATGCATATGGGCACACATTTTAAATCAGACATTCAAATTTATACTCTGATATTGTATCAGTTGGTTATCACTGCTATGATAATGCTGCATAACAAACAACCACAGATCCCTGCACCACAGATCTCAGTGCATTACAAAATAAAACTTTGTTTTTCTGTTTCTGGGTCTATGAGTGGCATGGTGTAGCTCTCCTTAGGCTACCAGCTGGGGTCAAGTCTGCTCCCTGGCCCTTTCATTCCAGGACCAGCAGTTACACCAGAACTGCCCTTCTCCAGAGCATGGCTAGACACATGTGTCAGCATAGTTTTCCTCTGCCAGCCAGTCTGTCCTCCTACAGAGTGCAGTGGCTCCATCTCCCTTGGGTGGCCTCAAAGTGGAAAGAGGAGAAATTGGGAGACCACCTGCAGGCTATGACTGCAAGTGGTGGAGGTGCATCTTGCTGATTGCTACTCAGATCCTCCTAATTGTCAGACTTTTAAAATTTCTACCACTTAGAGCCCCTCCTCTGAGTTACTATAGAATTTCCACCTATTAAAATGTGAATATAACAATAACAGCTAAAATGTATGTAGTAGTTACTATGTCCTAAGCACGGTGGCACAGAGAGGTTATGTAACATGCTCAAAGTCACACAGCAGGTAGGTGGCAGAGCTAGGATCCAAATCCAGGGACCTGTCACCAGCGTCTGGATGTTGACCACAAAGTGATACAACAACCCAAAGCAGCCACCCAGAGCTGGAGCGAGAGCCGGAAGTCCTAGGGTCTGGTCCTAGTTTCTCCATGTGGGCGGGGAGAGGCCTGGAGTTGCAGCAGGAGATGCACAGGGAGGCCTGGCAGGCAGGTCGGGCTGCCATGCCAAGGAAGGTTGGACTTCACCTGTGGTGCTGGGCAGTCCTCACGGGGTTTACACGACAGAATGACACAGTCAGATTTGAAAATCATCCTGTGCAAATGTACATGCCAGCATGTCTCCAAGATGGGTTCAGCAGGTGTCTTCCCGCAGTTTCCCCAAGAGGGCAAGTGACTTGCCCAGGGTCACACAGCAGGTAGAGGAGGGTTTGGAATTCAGGTCTTCCCTTCCCCAGGATTTGTCTCCTTTCTCCTCACACGTGCTTCCTCAGCTTCTCCCATCCAGATCTGCCCCCTGCCCACTCGACTTTTCTGTGCTCTCCACCTCCAAGACTGTTTGGGTCACCTATGGGCCTCATCCCAGCAGGACCCAGGAATGCAGCTGTCCTGAGATGTGGACCACCCCAGGGTGTGCCTGGAGGCTGGGCACTGCCTGCCTTGTCCCTAGTTGCTGGGATGACCCTTGAACACCATCAACCCAGTGTCCCTTCTGCCCCCACCTGCCTCCTCCTGGTCACAGTCAAGGTCAACACTAGCCCATAGTGCCTTGTGCCCTAAGAAAACAGCACGCCTTCCTCAAGAACTTGACTGCCAGCTGCTGGAAGGTTGTTCTAATACACTGATTTTGTTAAAACAATTGACTGCTAACTGCTAGAAATCTGTGTGAATGATATACAAAGCTACAAAACTGTGTGAATAGCATATAGAAAGCAGTACAAATGACATATGACATAAATATGTCCACAGAGTGCCCACCCCCTATGTTGGTGGTGCGACGTTGCACAACTGCACTCTGACCCTGGGGCCACTCTACCTCCTCCCCCTCCCCAAAAACCCAAATATTAACTAGACTCTGTAACCCCAGTAATGTGTCAAACTCTCTTACCAACTCCTGCTGTGCAAATGGGATTCTCCATTTGCAAAAGACCTTTGTATAATAAAGTGACCCTTCTAACTGGTTTTTGGTATGAAGGGAGAGCTCCAATTTGGACGCATCAGGCTGGCTAAAGTTGGGCCTGGCTCCTTGCTCGGACTGCCCAAGGGGTGTGAAGCTGTGAGGAACATTCTTGGCTGGAGACGTGAGGGAGGGAGTCCCAGATGAGGGACTTATACTTGACAAATCTGTGTCTTCCCCTAGGACGCTGTGAGCCGAGAGAGAACTTGAGCTGGGACAGGACAGGACCTGACAACCCCAAGGCCGAGGCTTCTACCTTCTGTTCTCAGATGCTGGCCCCTCACCTTGGCCTTTTGGGGACCAGGGCGGCACCCACTGTCACGCCTGTTGGTGCAGGGGGTCCTGCTTCTCCCGGGTGACCAACTTCTTGTCTAAATATCCTCTTAGCTTCCTTGTGGGCCTTCCAATCCTTCCACTACCCTGCTCTATACGGGCAGACAAGGACAGACAAGCAAGTGAACTGGAACTGAAGAGCACGCCACACTGCCCCCTCCTGGCTGGCGGGGCTCAGCGCCTCCCTCCCAAGCCCTGCCTGAGTTTGCTTCTTTGAGACTGGCCGGATCAGTCCTAGCCCACAGGATCTATCGGCCCACAGAGCACAACCCTGGGGGGGTCAGGCAGGGCTGAGCCGTGGACACTTTCCTGTTTCCTGTGGTGTCAAAAAAACAGGTTCTTCTTTTGTTTTGTTTTAATTCACACAGCATACTAAAAGCTCAAGTTGGAACTCCCGGACTCCACCTCGGCCGCTTGTTGGAATCCCCTGATGGCACTGAGCTAGCGTCAGGCTTCCAAGCTCCTCGGGGACCGTCTGGCACAGCCGTGTCCAGCTGGTGGCCCTGGACTTCCTGGAGTCCTGGTGTAGTGCTACAGGAAATCAGGGGGTCAAACACCCCTGCCCCGCCTGCCCCCTAGCCAGAATGAGGGCAGACTCAGCTGTTCACACCAAAGTGAAAATGTTCCATGATAAGGACACCTTTGGCCTCAGTTTTTCCAGCCTGTTCAGAAAAAAATTAGCTCCTCTGCTCCCCAGAGTGCACATAACCTCCCGCCCCAGCCAGGCCCAGTGCAGGAGCCCAGGCTGTCCCCAGGCCTGAGACGTATTTGCCTAACAAATCCTGGAACACACATCCCTGGGGGCTGGGTGGAAGACAGCCCTGAACCCAGCTGGGGCACCTGGGAGGACTCTCAGGAACTTAGCCGTGGAGGGTGGGGCTGTTATGGCCAAGAAGCCCCAGGGAGCCTTCTTTTAACAGGCCGGAGCAGAATTAAGTCTCCAGTGTCCTTGGACCTCCTGCTCACTCTGATTCTGTGGCCCAGACCAGTCAAGGGAAGCGCCCGGGTCCTGTGGAGTGACCCACCCAGCCACAGGCCTTTCCTCCAGGAGTGGCCTCACCTTTGGCGGGTGGCCGTGGGCCCAGAGGCCTGAGACGCAGGAACCAGGGAAGGGAGCCTATCAGTCTGGCACAGCTCAGGAATGTGCATTGTTTGGCGTGCAAGGGAGAAGCGAATGTGGTGCTAGCTGCCTTCTTACCCCGAAGCCGCTATCATGTTCGTTCTAAGTATCAGTAAAGCCCCTCGGATGTTTTCCTCCATTTTGCTTAATTTCCTCTTTCCCCACTTTGAGGTGATCAAGAGAATCGTTCTTGCGTTAGTTGCAGGGTTGCCGGGTAAAATACCAGAAGCTTTGTTAAGTTTGAATTTCAGATAAACAGTAAATAGTTATTTAGTATAACTATGTCTCCAGTATTACAGTTATTTTTGTGTGTGTGTATCTGAAATTCAAATTTAACTGGGGCCCGATACTTTTATTTGCTAAATTTGGCAACCCCTAATTAGTTCTTTTCTCCTTTTTATGCTTAAAAAACACTAATGGATTGTTTTTGTTTTGGTTTTTTAAATATTTATTTATTTATTTAGAGAGGGAGGAGGGCGGGAGAAAGAGACTAAGAGAAGCATCAGTGTGAGAGAGAAACTTGGATCTCCTGCCTCTCACATGGGAGACCAAACCCACAACCCAGGCACTGATTCCACCCTGATAGGGAATCGAACCAGTGACCTTTTGGTTCACAGGCCAACACTCAACTAACTGAGCCACACCAATCAGGGCTATTGGATTGGGTTTTTTTTTTATGTCATAGTCACCATGCTTTGAAACTGGGGTGTCTCACTGGTGCCAAGGCCAAGGCCAGGACACTCTCTGGTTTCCCAAACAAGTATATCTGAGTGATAGCTACAGTGCTGCCCTCGCTGTGACCCTGCTAACACCCCGAACTCAACCAGCTCCTGGCTGACCCATTATCTCTGACTCACCCACTTAGCCTCCTAACTTCTCAGGGTGAGAAATAAAGTTAATTATGTCTTGACGTTACTTGCCCTCCTTTTAAGAGCCGTTCAAAGCAGCCAGGTCTGCCACGCACCCCAGTGGTCTGGAAAGCCTCCGTGGTGTGACTTGAGGGAGGCCCACCCCCACATGGTGGCCACCACCCTGAATTCCCATTGACACAACATTCCCGTAGCCAGTGAGGTCCATCAGCATCCTTCGGGCGGGACTGGGTCCTTTACATCAGACCTGGCACATAGTAAATGCTCAATAAATATTGGCTGAATAAATGAACTAATGGATTGTTCTGTCTGTAGCTGTGTGGTCTTGAAGGAGGCACCTCCCACCCTGAGCCTTAGCCTCCTCATCTGGGAGATGAGGATAATAATACTGCCCCCTGCTGTCCTTAGAGCGTTATGGTGAGCTCTCAAGGCTTGGGGAATGGAAATGTGGTTTGAAAAGAAGACAGGCCGCCTTCCCCTGGGAGCCACTCGAAGAATTCGGTGTGTTATCTGAGAGAGGGGAAAGGACGCCTTTAGTGCATTTCAGTGGAGACCACATTTTCCAGACCCCAAACTAGGCGCTATATTCTGTCAATCCTACCCCTCTGTTCTGAGGGACAGAGTTTAGGTACCAGAATTTAGGGACTAATAAAACAGATGATAGAGGATCAGGACTGGCCCACATTTACCTGGACATATAATTAATTGTCACCTTAAGAGTCACCTTAAGATTCACCTCAGTGTTAGCCCAGAGCACTTACTTTTCACTGACTCAGCAAGGTGGCTCCCCAAGGATGGGAAGCACCCAGAGAGGGTCCCCAGATGGGGACCAGGGGGCTGACACCCACAGCCTTTCAGGCACCTGACAGGCCTAGATGTGACCGGTGTGCCCCATCTTGGCCCGTTGTAAATAATACAGGTGAGACCTTTAGACAAGTCAGCTTCTTTATTTGTTCAAATAACACAGTCCAAAAATGAGAGAGAGATGCCAGCATCAGGAACTCATACCAAACACTCACACAGCTCGAAGAATGTCGTTCCACCTGAGAAACCACACACAGAAGGTTCCTGACCCCCATCTAAAACTGACTCCTATCCTTCATATTTTGGCACTGTAGTCCTAAGCACTGCCTCAAATAAATCCATAAATAGCTCGCCTCTCCCACACTTCTTAGAAGCAACAATGCTAAGTGACTTTCAGAATATGCTTAGCTGAAATTCCTGAACTTTGCCTCAGGTTTGAGGTCAGTCCCATCTAAGCACCCAAGGCCTCTGCCCTGGACTTGTCCCCGCCCCCCGCCCCAGTCCCACCCCACAGTGCTCGCCACAGGTTCCACGCCACAACACCATGTCCTTCAAGGGTGACAAGACTGAGTTTGCCGTCCAGGAGTTAACTCCCTCTCCCCTACGGCCTCTTGCATGCACCAGAGCCAAGATCTTGAAACTGTTCAGTTGCAGAAGGCAGAGCCCCTAATAGCCCACACCTCACCTTTAGACAAAAGCAAAAAGGGGCCCTTTCTCAAGACCACTGTCATCAGCTGGAAAACTGTCGTCATAAATCTACAAACCCACCACATCTAGGAAGAGGCCGTGCAACCGTCCGTGGTCGTCCAGCTTGAAGCTCCCCCCCCTCAGTTCCCTGAAAACTACCAGATTGGGCCTGTAACACAAATGACATACATGGACATGGGGCTACGCAGTCTTCAGAACCCTTCACATTCACGTTGTCACTGACTCTTGGCAAACCCCCATGAGACCGGGGAGCTGAAAGGCATCAGCTTCGTTTCTCTGGTGATGGAATGACAGGACACAGGTTTGGAAGGTTTCTGGAACCAGTGATCCCCAGTCCGTAGGCCTTCCCTAGCTGGGCCTGCAGACCTCCTGGGAGGGATCCACAAACTGTATGGGCAGTAAGCACTGTGACCTGAGCAAGTTATGTGTTGCCTATAGAGGCACACCTGTTTAAATGCATCTGGATGTTCTAGTGAGAGATTAAACAAAAATTTACTTTTAAAGCTAAAGACTCATTAAAAGCAACATCTGAAAAAATGTCAGCAAGTCATTTGTCACTATATGATAGTGGCATGTTTTTAGCTCTGTGAATCAAGCAGTAAAGAAATAAGATTAAGGATTTAGTAACTCTCAAATAAAAGTAAAAACCCAAGGGCAGGTTAAGTCAGCACTAGGGTTGTCAGCAGAATGCAGGGGCTTCGAGTCCTGGCCCAACTCTCCAGGCTGTGCTCATCGAGGCAGCCCCCCCACCCCACCCCACCCCCGTTTCCTCCTGCCCCACAGTTTTGGGATAGAATCACTGGCTGTGCAATTCCAGCTGAGAAGCAAGGCCTCCTGTGAATGCCTAACACACTGCCTGGATCTTAGGAGTTCTCCACCATTTCATTCATTCATTTGGTGAGTGCCTCCAGCTCAGTGGGGAGGGTATATTTAGCCATAGAGTAAAACACTCCCTACCCTGTTTAGACAGATTTTAGCAGTACAGAACCAGAAGGCATATCATGGGTCACCTCATCCAGCCCAGAACCCAAGGTCTGGAGAGGACAGGGGTACACCAGGCCTTGCAGCAAGTTTGAAGCAGGTCAGCAGTTGGATGCCCGAGTCTCCTAACTCCCAGTCCAGTGCTTGTTTCTCCCAGCATAGTCTCTGCCGCTCGTTCTGAGGAAGAATTCTTCGTGCATCCTCAGTCTCAATAAGCCCGTAACTACAGGAGGATGCAGAACGGTCATCCACTCTTGTCTGCAGTCATGCCTGCGAAGCCCTGAATTGGGACAATTATGAAGCATCCTCAGGGTGTCCTGGCTAAAGTCACCAGTTGTTTGGATTGTTCAAGGGCGTGCTTGAATGGGAAGCACAGCTTTCAGTCTGGACTTTGTACCTCAGGGCTTGTGATGTTCTGGGAGGAGAAAAAGAACAGAAGTTTTAGCCAGAGCCCGATTATTTGTAGGTTCCACTCTGGTGACAATGGACTTCACATTAACCCATCAACATGGCATACTAGCTCCCCCTCTGGGCCTTTGTTCACACCGCACCTTCTGCCTGCCTGTCCTTTCCCCTCATCTACAGCCTCTCCATCCTCAAAATCAATGCCTGCCACCTCCTGGAAGTCTCCCAGAACCAATTTGCTTTATTGGCCTCAATTACCACTAATTGGGCATTTAATTGACATTAAATTTTGTCATCAGTAAACATTCTGTCTTCTCCACTAGCAGAACATTCCACAGGCCCCCCACAGAGCCTTGTGCACTATCTATAGGTCGCATGAATGAACGGATGAATGAATGGAACCAGAGGATGGAGTCAGGGCTCCTGAGGGTGTCAGAACTCATGTTTTTGTAATGTCTTTCCCAAAGAACTCGGATTGCTCCATAAGCTATTACTTAATCCATCTTAGGGGCCAAACCGTCTGTAATACCCCCATTCTCTGGGAGAAGACAGTGAGGCCGAGAAGAGAGAGGTCTAAGGTCAGGAGGAGTTCTCAGCAGGAGAACAAGGCAGAGCGGTGCGGAGCATTAGAATAACACGGCACAAGCATCACGGAGAAGGACCAGCTTTCTTGTGAGTCTCAGCCTGTGGCATCCGAAGCTCCTTCCAGGAGAGGAAGATGGTGTGTGAGTGGTGGTGACAGCGCTCTGGTTTCCCAGGACGCAGAAGTTCTGGGTCTGCGTGTCCCACACCAACAAACAACACTCCTTCCCTTTAAAGTCACACCCTCACTCAGTAGCTTCTGCTCTATGGAGCAGGGTCCATTGTTTGTAAGCAGGTTATCTTAAGTGGATTTGAAAGGGGAAGGGAAAATTGCTCATCAGGGTCCTCCAGAAAACATGTGAAAACTCAGACCTTTGAAAAACACGGTGGTAAGTATTATTTCTAAAGGGAGCGTCTCAGAGCCTTGGGCGAGGGAAAAGTGTGAAAACAATCAGAAGAGAGAGCAATTGCAGAGGGGAGGCTACTGTTCATCCTCCAGCCAAGGTCTGGATGGGGCGCCTCCAGGAAGCCCTCCAGAAGCAAACAGCCCATGGAGCCTTCTCATCTACCTCCACCACCCCTTATTTGAATGTGATCTAACTTTGCTTTGCTATTTAAATTTTATAGCAGTTGCAAGTTGGGAAACCAAGCAGCAGAACCTCTGGAATAATAAGAGGGCGAGCTTAGCTAGCAGCCAGCCCAGTGTTCCTTATTGATGTCAAAAAGTATGAAAACGCACACAGTTAGACACCAGGGCCAATAAGGAAAATGCAAGTAAAGCCAGTGAGGGTGTGGGGAAAGAAAACAGTCACTGTGGTATAGAATCATCTCAAAAGGCCTCAGCAAGCAGGTGGCATTTGAGCTGGACCCCAAAAGTCCTGAACTGGGCAGGGGAGAGGGGACAGTAAACAGATCCTGTCTTGACCACGACCCTGTCCTCGCTCGTCTCCTTGCTCCTCGTCGCCCTTTCTCACCTGCGGGGCCTCCCGGTTCCGGAACTGGGGGTAGCGCAGGCCCATCAGGCTGAGGGCGTTGTGACGACCGTTGGCCAAGCCAAAGGCAAACTGGTAGGGCCTCTCAGCGGGGTTCCTGTCGGACTCCGGGCAGCAGGCGCCCTGTCTACGCAGGGTGGCGGTCAGCTTTACGAGGGACGCGTCTGGGAGCTGGTAAAAAAACCTCTTAAAGCTGGGGTATCGCCTGATCTGGAAGCAGAAATGAAGGCCATCAGTGTTGCTGGCAGGCGACCCTCCTACCCACGGCTAGGCAGGTGTGCCTTGTTATCCCTGGGACGGCTCCTGGGTTCAGTTCCTCCACCGCCCACAGCCGGTCAGCGTCTGTGCTGCAAGGCCCAGCTGCAAACAGCAGGACAAAGTTGGGGGAATGGGCAGGTCTTCGGACCCAGACAACTACGTTTAAATCGCATGCACTGGCTGTGTGAGCTCTCTGAGCCTCTGCTTACTCATGTAGAAAATGGGAGGGCGACTGACTATTGCTGGGGGGAAGGATTCGGTGAGGTGGTTTATGTGAAATGTTTTGTCAGCATAGATGTGTGTGAGTTTTAGTTCCCACCCTAAACCTCCTCTTCTTCATACTTGGATGTCTTAGGTTGGGCTCCCCCTGAGGCCGACCCAGAGACAAGGTCTGAGGTGAGCTCCCACGTGTTGAGAGTGACCCCGGGAAACCCTGATGGGAAACGGAGACCTAGGATGAGGATGGGAAAGCAGCCGCACAGGCTGCAGCCCACCCCCACGGGGCACTGCAGGGACCAGCTCCTCAAAGTTCTCCCCACCCCAGGGCGAGGGGCTGGGGGCTATGTGCACCAGCTCCTGTCAGCCATTGGTTGAAGGCTACTCCTGGGGCGGAAGAGGGTGTCCAGTCTAACCTTTGTGTGGTGGCAAAGTGGCTCTGGGGCCAGTCCTCAGGCACAAGTGTTCAGGCCTGGGGAGTCGGGCTGAGCGCTGGGAGCCACCTGCAAGCCCTCCAGCTGATCGCTGCGTCAGTGACCTGAGCTCACACCCAATGACCCCTTCACCTGCGACATGTGCTTCTCCACGTAGACTGTGAGGTTTTGGGGGGCAGGAACTGTCTGTTATAGGCTACCTAGCAGGGGAGGAAAATCTAAAAGCCTCGAAGAATTGGAGACCATATAGATGCTGAAGAGTGTGCCAGGGCTGATGACCCCAATTCACATCCCTCCAGACCCACGGGGGTGGGCCCTGAGCAGCACTGCAAGGAGGGTTTGGATGGGGGGAGGTCCTGGCTGGCTGGGGAGCCACGTGAGCTTTATGTTATTGTACACTAACATTTATCTCATCTACTACGTGTGTGGCATTTTCTATATATGCACTAAACTTTGTCAAGTAGGTATTTATCTCTGTTTTGCAAAAGAGGAAACTGAGGCTCAGAGAGGTGAACAGACATGCCCAAGGTCGGCCAGATACAGAAATGGGGATTGAACCCAGGTCTCAGTGGTGAGCTGATGACGCCCCTGGGGTTGCCCTTGGGGGGACTAAGTAGTTCTTACCTGCTCCCCCAAATGGCCATCCACTTCTTGGAGAAGGGCCACCAGCTTCTGGATGATCAGCTTCTCTGAGGAAAGTAAAGGAGAATTGAAACACTATTGACAAGTTCTGCAGTAACGCGTCTACGGATTACGACTATCGCGTCTCTAATACAGAGCCCACAGATGAGTTATGAAGGGCACAGAAAAATCTTCCCTCAACGAGAGCCACAGCATGAGAGCTTCGGCTGGGTTTGCTGTATAGAAACAGAAAGGACTTCGGGCTGCTGCGCTTCACCTGTAACCATTAGACAGATGGGAAAACTGAGACCTCCCGGTGGCCCTTATCCAGGCTACCGAGTAGCACAGTCAGGAATGGGAGCTGGGACCAGGAGCAGCTAATGAGAATGCAGGGAGGGGAACTCCATGGCTACCGACGGAGCAGGAATGTGCCCATCGGCCAGGGCTATAGGCAGTGCCCTGAAGGTGGCTGCTCCTACCAAGGGTTAATTGTAAATGTGCAGGGAAATTGTCGATCCATGGTTATCAAGTATTGGCAGCTTGAAATCGGCCACAGTGGGGATGTTTATGCCACAGGAATCTTCAAAGGCTACAGATTGGGGCTTCCCTTCTTCACACGGTGCCTCCAAGAACTTGTTGGCCAGTATGCCTCTGATTATGAGACCACAGCAAACTAGGGATTTAACGAAACATTCAAGCAAACCACAGGGGTGGGGTGAAGTCATTTCCCACAGAGTAGATGGGTGTTCTCTACCTGAAAAAGGCTCTTCACCTCCAGCCCTGTCCCAACAGCCCCAGTTGGAAGGCCAACCCTATCTCCTCCCTGCCCTCAGAGTGCCCCAGATGTTTGTCAGCTGCCCTCCCAGTTCCCCGCTCAAGTACGGCCTGTGAGAGAAATATCAGTTGGTTGCCTCTTGCACGCCTCCAACGGGGAACCTGGCCCACAACCAAGGCATATGCCCTGGCCAGGGGTGAAACGAGTGACCTTTGACTTTGTGGGGCAACACCCAACCCATTGAGTCACACCCGTCGGGGCCTCAGGTCTGGCCTGTGAACTCCACGGGGCACCATCCCAGGGGACAGCAGATGGTACTAACTAGATTCACACGCTCCATCCGGCAGAGGTCTCCCTTCCGGCTTGTGGCTTCCGGCCTGGGAGGATGCTTCTGAGGATCCAACTCGTCCCCCTTCTGCAGGCGAAGGCTCCTGGAACTCAAGACCCTCCAGCTCTGAGGGCAGAAAGGGGGACGTGAGTGTGTTTGCACCCGTCTCGAGTCCGCAAGCACATCACTTCACCCAGGTTCTGACAAGCAGCCGCCCACATACATTGGCACGAGAGGGGTCCTGGTTTTCCAGGCTCTTGGGTGAGCCCCAGATCCCCTGGACCCACCTCAGAGGAGCTTACAGGACTCTATTTGTCCCCTCCAGAAATCTCATTCTTTCTTCCACCAACCCCCTCTGCCTCCTCTCTGCCCAGGAGGAAGACAGGCAAGCGAATGCACTTCCCCTTTAACTCTTCGAGGCTCTGCCGATTCACTTAGCCTGTTGGAACCTCACTTTTTCCATCTGGCCAATGGGAGTATTAAGACTGGCCTCTCAGGTTTGTGAGCTGGTTAAATGAGATAATGTGTGAACGTGGCATGGAGTGGGTGCTCCATAGACGTCATGCTAATCACTGTAAACCAGGGGACCTCGTGCTCATCAGCAAAGGACAACCCAAGGGAAGTCCTCCTTCATCAGACCTGGGTCTGGATTCTATTAGCTTTCTAGGTGACTCTGATGCACTTGTCTAATGTGCAGATGCACTGTTCTCATACCACACTCGTTTCTAAACGTGTGTGTGGTGGGACTGGGAAGTGTGTTATGAGCGGTGAGTCTGGCCAGCAGCACACTCCTCTCCCCTCCCCACGGTCCTCTCACACCTCCCCACTCTGCTCAGAGCAGAGGGCAAAAGTCAGGACTGAATGAGAGGCCATACAGCTGGCCAACCCCTGCCCTAGAGGAAGAAGCCTGGGGTCAGAGGCAGCCTGTTACCATGGTAACACCAGGCCTACTCACCAAGGCTGCTGGCGCTGGAGGGCCGATTGCCCCCAACACACAGGGCCAGATAGGTGGGCCTCTTGAGCAACCGGGATTCCGGGCTGGCGGCACCTGCAGCTCCCCCCTTCTTGGGCTCCTTGGAGCCATGCTTCTTATGAGAAAAGGCTTTTATGAAGCTGGACTTTCTCTCTTGGGACTTCTTCCTGCAGGGTGGGGTCAGGTGTTCTACAGCCACCTCTGGCTCCTGAACGTGAAGCTGCTGCGGACCAGAGGAGAGAGACTGAGTTACAGCCCTTGGCTTTGAGGAAATTGCAAGTGAGCTGAGAAAAGAGACCTGTAGCCCCTGAAACCAGACAGACCCACGGTGGCCTAGAGGGTGCAGCCCAGGAAAAAGAGCCATTGATGCTCAGAGGTGGGCAAAAGAGTGACCTGCAGCCTCAAGAAGGAGGAAGGTCAGGAGCAAGGCTAGGTGTAGAATTGGGGGAGACGCAGGGAAGTTATTACTCTGGGCAGTGGCCAGGGGGATCCACAGTGAGGGTCAGGGTTAATGGGGAACGTCCTCCTCACCTTCTCTCCCTCCGGTTCCTCCTCATCTTGGAGTAGAGCGATGATCTCCTGGATAAATTTTTCTAAAAAAGAACAAAGTAGCTCCTTACACTCTAGTAAAAGAAAAACATTTCTTTGGTCAGCCTTCATTTCCTGAGGCCCTGGGTGGGTGATTCTCATGGGGCTCCAGGGTGCTAATGAGCTTGCATTTGTGGCCACCTCAGTCCTGACCCACTGGGGACCCACCATTTCTCAGGCCCGGCCTGAGGGCAGAGCTGGTTTCAACGGAACGTACTCTCTGTCCATTCCCAGTGAGGGCACGGATGTGCTGCTCTTAGGTGTAAGGAACAGCACAGGGGCCCTACTTGGTTCCCCTCCACGACACATTTCTTTGTGAAAAGCAAACAAGGCCAAATGGAGTTAGGGGAAAGCTGGTCTTTTTTTTTAATTGATTTGAGAGAGAGACATCAATTTGTTTCTCCACTTATTTATGTATCGATTAGTTGATTCTTCTGTGTGTTCTGACTGGGGATCGAACTCACAGCCTTGGTGTATGGGGGTGATGCTCTAACCAGCTGAGCTACCCAGCCAGGGCAGAAGCAGATCTTTAAGAGTATCTTCAGACATATGGAGCCAACAGTAATTAGGACTCTAAGATCGGCTCCGCCAGTGATAAAACAATAATGACGACAGCAGCTACCCTTTGCTGAGCTTCTGTCCCACGGCCCCTACCCCTTCCTATCCTCTTTACCTCTCCTGGGGCTCTGAGCAACCATGATGATAATAATAACAATAAGTGACAGCTAACGTTTATTAACTGATTAGTACTGCTCTAAGCACTTTATCTGCATGCATTCATTTAGCGCCTCCCACAGCTCTATGAAGTCAGTACTGATATTATCCCCATTATAGTGATGAGGAAACTGAGACCAGAGATGAAGCAACTTGTCCAAGTAAATGCAGCTGGAAGAGGTCACTGTCCAAATTCAAACCCAGGCCCTAAATCACACTGTCTCCAGAGCCCATGCCATGGGCCAGTGCCTGCGGCTAATGTTGGCCCCACCGAGGAGGGCAGTTCACGTGGAGGCCAGACAGGGTGAGTAACAGCAGTCTGGTTCAGCGCCTGGACTCGGGGCCCCACGCTGCCTCCCCACCCCGCTGCACTCAGCGGGAGGTTAGGACGAGTCTCTGCCTCTTTCTGGTTGTTCCTCTTCTGCAAGTGATGGGGTTGGGCCATACATTTTCCAAGGAACCTCTGAGAAAAAGGGAGGGGTACTGACTGCATTCTGAGGCTCTGTCCAGCTGCAAGTCCTCTCCAGGTCCCCGGCCTCCTGCTTGGGTGGAAAGTTCGAAGGGACTTGGACTCCCATAATCTGTAGACAAGGCATCTTGAACTTCAGGTTCTTCCAAACCTGCATAGCACAATGAAATGGTGTGTTTTTGTTAGTTCCAAGGCTGTTAGCTACTGCAGAGACGTTAGCACAGCCGCCGCCACCCACTCCGTAGCCCGGTCATGGGGTGGTGTGGGGTGGGGCAGTGAGCTAGGGTGGACGTGGATGTGAGCTGCTGGTCAGGGCCTTTGCACTTCCACACCTGACCTCCAGGGCTTCGCTCCCTCGCCTCCCTCCCCTAGCGACCTCACCCCTCCATCAGCTTGGCTTGATCCACTAGTTGGAGAGTAAATGCCACAGAATGAGTTAACATATCCGCCAGAAGCCCCTGCATGACAGTTAACTCTTTGCTGTGAAATATCACCCCCTCTTTCTTAAAATGTAAAGTACCCGGCCCAGGGTGACCTGCTAGGCTGTTCTTCCCTGACAGCCAGGACATCCTTTCTTCCTGGTCTCTGGCTCCATCATTGATGGGCCATGACCTTGAACACATTGTTTTACCTCCCTAAGTGGCAGTTCCCTCATCTGTAAAATGAAGATAATAAAATGGCTGAGGGCAAGTATCACAGGCCAGGAGACTGAGGCACAGAGCTGGAGAATGACATAGAAAGTACAGCTCAGAGCCCAGGTCTCCTGCCTTCCAGCCTCCACTTTCCTCCTGCCTGGGCTCTGCACTGCCAGGGTGCAGAGCTGAGGCTGCAGAGAGACGAGGACGATGGGGGTCCCTGAGCACAATTTCCACTAGGGGCTTCTCGGGCTTGTCAAGGCAGTGAGGTTTCACGTGTGGTGGTGGCCCGCTGGCATCCCTTTCCTCCTCCTCAGGGCCCTCCCCATGCTGCTCAGGAAAGAGCAAAAGTCAGCTGGCCCTGCTGCTCTTCCAGTGGCCAATTCCAGCCCTGGGGAAGCCTCCAGAGCTGGAGGCAGCTGCAGTGTTGCTATGGTAACGGTAAGCCTGCTCACCAAGGCTGCTGGAGATGGAGGGCCGATGGCCCCCAACACACATGTACAGAAAGCTGGGCCTCTTGGACGGCCGGGACTCCGGGCTGGAGACATCGGCGGCCCCCGCTCTCTTGGGCTCCTCAGAGCTGTGTTTCTTATGAGAAAAGCTTTTCTTGAGGTTAGACTTCTTCTCCTGGGATTTCTTCCTGAGGGGTGGTGCTGGGTTTTGTGGAGCCACCTCTGGCTGAGAGGCTAGAAGCTGCTGTGGGGAGATGAGAGAAACTGAGTCAGGCCCCTGACCTTGAGGAGACAGAAAATCTCCCTGAGAAGCAACTCAAAAGCAACCAAATGCTTCAGGGCAGCCCCAGGCAAGGGAGGTGACAGAGCCCTCAGCAGGGGAGCTGGGAGGCCTGGAAGGACCAGGTAGGCTTGAGCAGGAGGAGGGGGAGAGGAAGGAGGAGAGTAGGTGAGGGAGGAGGTGCAGGCCCCTGGGAACCTTCCAGGCAGGTGTCTCCTCACCTCTTCTTCCCACCGGTCTCCCACTTCCCGGAGCATTTGCACTATCATCCGGATGATAGTGTCCTCTGGAAGAAAGCGAGTGACCAGTTAATCTTTCTAGATGCACAGAGAATGCTTTTTAACCACTCTCTTGGACTTCTGAGACCACCTGGGTCCTTCTGTGTTAAATGAGGGTCCTCCTAAAAGAAGCTCTTTAGGCCACAGAGGTGACAGAAGTGCCATATCCCAGAGGCTGGTCCTCCTGAGAGAAGGTTGGAAGGTCCACAGGAAGGGCACTGGGCCAAAGAAGGACATTTCATGCAGGAAATTCTAGGTCAGTCCTTCTGATAGTAAACTTGTGCCCCACTATTTCCTTAGAACTACACAGATCTGTGAATGTCTGCTTTGGGTTCAGCAAGCTGTGTGACCTTGGGTAAAGTTCGTAATCTCTCTGGGCCTTCATCTCCTCCCCTGTGAAATGTGGAGCATAATCCCTGTTCTGCTTCCCTCGGAAGACGGTCAGGCTGTCCAATGAGAGGCCGTGCTGGGAAATACTTTGCAAGGCTAATGCTGACATTCCAACCTGCAATATGGCCTGAGGTGGGGCTAGAGGAAGGAGGGACCCCAGCCCACACGACACAGACAGCCTGCCTCAGTGATGCCTCCACCACACTGCCAAGTCTTAGCAGAGAAACCACAAGCAACATCAATGATTTCCCTTGATACCCCACCCCACATCTGCAAAGACACTCGCTCAGAGTGGCCTCTGCTAGCTGCCAGCTAGCTGATGAGTGTACACGGAAGGAGGTACACATGAGAGTCCCTGTACCCAGGGCGTCTGCAGACTGTTTCGCCCCTCACTCCCCTCATTTATAAATCGTTCTTGGTTGTTACTCCTTGACTCAGTCTACCAGATGATTTCCTCTCACATGAGAAAACAGAATGTAAAATAAACATCCTTCCCAATAACCAACTGAACATCTTTTAGTTATTCTTTGACAGGTGAATTTAAAGATCCTCTGTTTTGTATCTTTAAAAATATGCCTGTTCTTTACAAAGAATTAGATTAATGGAACATTATTGATTTTATTAGGGGCAATGACCAGACTGTGGTTGTGTATGAGACTGTCCCATTTCTTGGTGACCTGTGCTTAAGTATTTAAGAGTGAAGCATTATTTTACTAAAAATGGTTCAACAACAGAAGTACACATGCACGCATGCAAAGCAAAGCAAATATGGCCAGCTGTTAACAACTGTGAGTATATGAGTATGCAGAGAACTGTTCTTTCCACTCTTCTGTATATTTAAATATATATAAATTCTATATTCCTCTAAATTGCTTTTACAAATTTAAAGACACACCCAAAACATCCCATGCTTATGAACACACAAGCGGGAGCGTCTGCCAGTGGCGGTTCTCACTCCCAAGGCTCCCTTCTGTGAAACTCTAAAAATAAGTAAATGTGTCCAGAAGCACCAGAAGGGGCAAGATCAGCACGTGCATTTTGAGAGTGACTATTGAAGCTCTAAGTGGTCATCCAGAGCAATCTGTCTTATTGGGCAGTGGCCACCCCAGCTGCAGGCAAAGGGAGCACAGTAGCTTCTGACTCACTGTCAAGCTTTTTGAGGTCCTCTTCCTGACAGCGGCCCGTGGCTTGGGAAGAAGACGCCGAGACACCAGCATCCTGGCCTTGGATGAGCAAGGACTGGTAGACACCAGTATCCTCCCCGCCTGGAACAAAGACGAAAGCAAGTGTGGGTGGGGGTGGGGGGCATAAGGGTATGTCAGTAACATTCTTCTGACACAAGGAAACAGCACAGAATTCCCAGCAGGAGGGCACTGCTGTAGCCAGCTCTAGTCCTGACCAAAACTTCAGAAACACACCACGATTTCCATCTGAAAAGAAGCTGCCTCAAGCCAGACGTCCTTCCCTACACCCCCAAAATATCCTGGATCTTCCTTGGGTCTCCTCTCTCCATTTCAACGCGCTCACTTTTCGATGCTCCGGGGCAAAGCTCCATCTCCCTCCACGTGGCTATGGGCATTCAACTCCAGGATGCTAGGAGTCAGAAAAGGAAGGCACCTTGGGGACCAGCTCCTTTTTGCAGATAAGAAATCAAAGGTTCTAGAGAGGAGCAGCAACTTGCTCAGAATCACACAGCAAGCTTATTCCCGAGAGAGCCAAGTCCAGAAGTGGCACCCCAGGAGCTGGCTCTGTCCCTGACACCTGCCCCAGCCCTCACAGGTGGACTATGTGGAGGGCAGGGCTTCCATCCTCACTTCACTCCCTGCTTTCCCCTTCCTCCCTGGTCCATGTTTAAAGTAATCAGCAGTAACAGCTATCATTCATTGAGCACTTTCCACGTGCCAGCTCTGGGCCACAGCCACTCCCAAAATGCTAAGGCTCAGAAAGGAAAGTCACCAGCCCCTAGTCACATAGCTAGTTGGTGGTAGAAATGCCTCAAAGAAGTTACACGGTGCTGTCATTCCTGATAGCTGTCCTGCCTTCCAGGTCCCCTCTTTTGAGAGGTTTGAGGAGCCAGCTTAGAGCACACTAGCCTTTGCGGGTGGGGCAATGGAGTTACCATAGAAACAGACACATTCTGCTCACCCCTGAGTCCCGGCCCCTGGTCAGCCTCTTCAGAGCGTGAGACAGCAGCCGTCTGGGGCAGCGCTGCCTCTTGGCCTTGGACTTCCTGACCTTGGACCCCCCTGGTTTGCTCATCAGCATGTTTCTTGTGACTGTGTTTCTTGCGGCTGGTCTTCTTGTCGTGGGCTTTCTTTCTGGGAGCTGGCTCCCCCGGTAACTCGGGGGCTTCTGCGGGCTGGGGGAGGCCCTCCTTCCCCTTTGCTCTTCTGTTGGCCTTTTCTCTGGTCTCCTCGGGGCCTGTCCTCAGGAAGAAGTTCATCACGGTCTTCAGCAACCCCTGCTGGGCCCGACTCTGGGCCTTGTCCTTCTTGGCATCCTTCGGAGGTCTCTGCTCCCTGGGGAGAAACTCCTTGGTCCCCTCCTGGCTGAGGGCTGTGCCTGTGGTGCCTGGAGCCGCCGAATCCCTTGGGCTCTTGGGATGCCTGCTCCCGTCACTGGCGCTCCTGGGAAGCGCCTGTCTGGAGGAGGCCGTGGGCAGGGAAGAGCCCTGGCAGCCGCACGACTCTGAGTCCTTCCTGGGGTTCGGTGATCTGTCCAGGGACCTGGCTCTTCTCACAGACAGGGGCTTCCGGGGGCCCTGCGGATGCTCCATTGTGCTACAACCAAAACAAACAGCTTCCTTAGAAGAGCCTACTGGAGACTGCCCGGGTGGCCAGCATGCTGACCGGTGCACGAATACACCCTGCCCACCGGCCCAGGGATCTCAGCCCTCAAGGCCATTGGCCTATTTTCATTCCTCAACAACCCTAGCAGGGAGGTGTGTCCTCACCCCATTTTCCAGGGGAAGAAACTGAGCTATAGGAGGTTGTGCACCAGAACTCACTGTGCCCTCCCCCTCCCACCCCTGGGCCCCCAGAAGGAGCACAGCCCTGCCAACACTTTGATCTGAGTCCATGGAGACTGATTTTGGACTTCGGACTGGAACTGTGGGACAGGTAGTTCAAGTCGCTCCAAAGCCCTGGAGCGTGTGCCATGCTGTTGCAGCAGCGCAGGAAATAAACACAGGCGGAGCAAGAGGCCCAGGCCTGCGCTTTAAATGGCAACTCTGTTCTTCCAGTTGCTCAAGACAAAAATGTGAAGTCACCCCTGACTCCTTGTTTCTCTCGCTCCCCAAATCTGATCCACCGGCAAAGCTTATTGGCTCCACTTTCAACTGTGTCCAGACCTCGGTCGCCATGTCCCCTCACCTCTTCCACCTCCACTCACCGGGACTCTTTCAACCACCTCCTAACCGGTCTCCTGCTCTACTCTTGTCCCCCTCGCAGCGATTTCTCCTCTCTGCGCCCCGGGGCATATCCACCATGGGTTAGAGAAGGCGACTCTCCTTCCTTCAGTGGCTCCCCTATTGCTCAGAGTCAAAGTCAAAGTCCTGGCAAGACCTCATGACCTGGTCTCATTAGCTGTCCAGTCACCTCTCACTCTCTCCACTCTAGTCACACAGCCCTGCTCGCCTTCAGACCCACTCTGCCTCTTTCTAGAACATTCTTCCTCAAGACAGCCTTATAATTTGTTCCCTCCCTTCCTTCAGGAAATCTGCTGAAATGCCACCTTCCCATAGAGATCCTCCCTGTGCACCCCGCATCAGCACATCCTCCCCCCCTTACCCCAATGTTTACCCGTTTGTTGTCTGAGCCTCTCCACCTTGGTCTGTTGTACTAGGCCTTGCTTCCTGAGTGCCCAGAACAAGGACCGTACATTGGTGGCACTCAGGAAGCACTCATTAAACAAATGAATAATGTGTACCACACGCTGCACCCTGCACAATACGTAAGGCATCTCTGGTCGTGTGGTAACACATGATAGATGTCCCGCAGCAGTGGGGTCCCCTTGGCTGCGCGCAGGACGCACTGCCTGTGGAGGGACAGAGGAATCAGCTCCTCCCCGCAGTGCTCAAGCAGCCCGCGTGCAGACAGTTCACTTCTGTGTCTCTAATCTGAAACCCCCCGGACTTTCCAGTTTTTCCAAAGTTGTTTGGAAACCCTTTGCCCTTTGGTGGAAGATAAACAAAAAATAAAATATGGTTTGAATCCCAAACCCAAGTTCCCAGAGATTCCTGTGGAGTTTAGATTCATGGATGGACTGCTCTAGTTTGTAATTATAGACTTATCATGCATTTACTAAGTATAATTTAGTGTATTTGTACTATATATTATGTATGTATTTACATCTTACCTCCTGCAGGTACTCATTCATTTATTTTAAAATGTACTCTATTACAATGTCCAGCTTAGTGACGAGAATAAGAATCTAAAATTGTGATTTTAGACGTGGAGGAATTCATGTGAATGTGAGGAAGATGCGTAAAGAGAGAGATACATAAAGGCATGGGGGAACAAGGGGCAGTTTGACAGTGACAGCGACATTCGGGATGACTTCCCTCCTTCAAGCACGGGCCTGGGGCGCAAGGACCAGGCAGGATGGCCGGGGGCCAGTGGCTGCCACCGGCACTGCTGCGCGCCCACTTGTGGAAGTGGGCAGCCGTGGAGGGAGTGACGAAATGGGCCAGGGAGAAGGCAGGCAACTTGGAAGGCTTTATCTGTTGTTTAATGTCCCTTACGAGGCACGTCTGAGTCACACAAAAACTTTTAGCAGTGCAGGCAGTGCCTTACGTGCGGCGCAGACCGGCGCTCTGGAAAGCCTCAGAGCCTGCCCTCGCGTTGTGCCTCCGAAACACAGCGTGGAGCGGGATAAGGGCAAGAAATCATAGGAGAAAATTTTTTTCTTTCTTCTCAGTTATTTTTTTTCAGTTATATTTGTTTTTTCAACAAACATTTACTAAGCTCCTGTATGTACCGGAACTACGCTCCGTGCTAGGGAAGCAACAAGGAGCAAGATGCCGGCGGCCCCTCCCGGAGACGGCTCCGGCCTTCGGGGGGCGGCGCGCAGCGTGAGTGCGTGGGGCTGGCCGTGACCTCTGTCTCCCCGATCCACCTCTCTTTAGTGACACATGGTTTAAAGGGAAGAAAAATTTAGGTAAAGCTCTGTTTGATTTTGAAGTCTAAGTAAGCTGGGCCGGAAAGATTTGCTGAATGGCGTCAGGCCCTCGCTGATTTTCCCGCACGTTCCTGTGCTCGGGACCACACAGCACACCCTTGCCGGACTCAGCCCCTCCGCCCCCTGCACACACTTGGCTTGTGGGAGCCTGCGGCGTGGAGGGCTGGAGCATCTTTCCCTAGCTAATGAAAAAAAGAGTCGCAGTAATCTTTTCAAAACCTGTCGTTGCTATGGAAACCGTTTTTGCCATTGCTGATGATGGCAGTCATTCAAAGGACACGCCGCCACCTCTAGTCAGAGCACCACTACATCACCAACAGTGATGTTTTTTCAAGAATACTGTGTTGATTTGGTCACCCCCTCCCTGGAACAGCAATGCTCTGAGCCCAGGAGGAGGTGGGGGAGAGGGGAGGAGCAGTTGCAGCCGCGGAGGCAGGGGAGGCAGGTGGGTGACGTGAAACCCTGGCCATACGAGATTGTTTCCCAGTGAAGAGAGACTCCAGGACCTCCCATGGCCTCCTAATTCCAAATCTGCCCCCCTCCCCCAGCAGCTGCAGCATTTGCTACCACATCCACCCTCTTCTTCCTGCAAACTCTTTCCTGGGCAGCTGTGACTAAGCTCAGCCTGGCTCCCCTCCCACTTATCTGATGCTCCTTCTCCTTAAAGTTCAAAGAGTCTGCCTTCCAGCCTTGGGACCAGGGTTAGGAGAGTGTGGCTGGAGGGCAAGCCTGCCCACCCCAGGTAGGCGGTCTGGAAGAGCCTCTCTTGCCCACGAGTCCTCAGACTTCAGCACCGCTAAGCCCAGAGAAGTCTGTGTTTTCTCTCACACACACACACCAGATTCTGTGTGTGCTGAAATGAGATCCTTCCAGACATTCGATGCCTGTCCAGAATTCATCAACACAAAACTTTCTCTTTCCTTCCTCTTTTTTCTTGTTCTGCCCCCCTGTTTTGCCTCAGGGGCCACCCACGTGCCACCTGGTTATAGGGGAGGGACATGCTTCCAGACCAGTGACCCCAAGGCAGCAGCAGATCCTCCCAGCAGGGAAGCCCAGCTGCTCTTGTAAACCTGTTTGGCACCTTGGCAGAACATGGGTGCAGAGCGAAGTTCAAGTCTGCTCGGAAACACCCAGGTGATCTACAGACCCAGGCCCTCCGGTGAGACACGCCCACAGAGCCGCCCCTGAGTCACTGTGGAGCCGAAGTCTGGCGATTTTTCCCAAGCCTGCTGCCATTTGGGTTTATTATCTTAGTATACGCTGACCTCATCCGTACACAATTCTCTCATTTACTCATCCCGCTGGGTTACTCTGTAACTGCTCAGGCGCCCAGCGGGTTTCCTAGGTCTGCCGCTGCACGCCCCACCCCTGCACCCCACAGAGCGGGACCGAGCAGATAACCAGCCACTGTGTGTGTGGCACACGTGTGGGCCCCATGTCAACGCCCTTGGACACCCCACTCTGCACGGAATGTTTGTGTCCCTCCCCCCAAATACATTGTTAAATTCTAACGCCCAGTGAGTTGGTGGGGACATGAGCAGGTGGGGCCTTTGGGAGGTGACTAGGTCACTGGAGCAGAGCCCAGTGAGCCAGAGCAGTGTCTTTACAAAGGACACCCCCGAGGGCCCCCTTGCTTCTTCCATTACGTAACCCGCTCACCCACATGCTGCCACGTGGCACCCAGAATGCCCTTTCACCTGCGTATCTCACTCTGTCCTGGCCCTGCCCCAGCAATCAGACAGGCTGCAGCAGGGAACAGAGGCTCCAAAGGGTTAAGAGACTTGCCCAAGGTCCCACAGCCGAAGCGGAGAGAGTTGGCGCTTAAATCCACTTCTCGGGGTTCTAAATACTTTATTGTCTCTCCTACACCGAGGGGCCTCCAGTAAATGCAGACACACACACACCGACTTAGAGGTGAGCAAATCTGCTATTTCGCACCGACAGAGATAACTACATCTACTCACACTGACTCACACGCCACGTGTGCCCAGGCAAAGACACACCTGTGCCCCGGAGGTAGACATTGTGCGCACAGGGCAGGGCTCACACACCCCAGCGTGGAGGGTCAAGGCTGCACCCAGAGCTCACGTTCGTTTCTCTTCAGCACAGGTGGCCCCACAGATGCTCCAAAGCCCTAGAGTGAGAGCCTTTCTCTTTGGAGCTCAAAGCCTTCAGCCCAGGCTCCCTCAGCGGTGTGGGTCCCCCCACAGGTCACACCTCCCCACGTGCAGGGGAACAAGGGGCCTCCTGGGGAGACACTCAACCTCCACAGGCCTGACTCTCTTGGGGGACAAGGTGGTCACCTCTTCCCTCAACACTGTACGCATCTCGCTCCCATGCCCAGCTCCCAGGTACTGGATGGTAACAACTCGATGTATTGCTTCTCCTTGGTGAGGTCCCTAGCAGGGTCCCACAGGACCTGACAGGTGGCCAGCCCCATGTCCCGCCATGTAGGACTCCTTTCTGCCCCTTCCCCAGAAGACAGACGTGCAGCCCCCGGTGGAACGCCTCCTACAACAGGAACTCACCGCCCTTGGAGGCGGAACAGTCTATGGTCAGCCAGCATGGGTTTGAAGGAAAGTCCTCCTCATACCCCTGAGGAGAGGTCACACCAGCCCTCGGGTTCTGCCTGTTTCTGTCCCTAAGCCCTGGTTGTCCAGGTCTCCCTGGACAGTCACACTGCTTCTAGACCCCTTGCCCTTCCCTGGGTCCTTCTCCACTTAAGAACGAGAGGCCCGGATGGAGGGCTCCAGGTCCTGCTGGGCTCTGCACGTGAAGCCTCGGGTCACAGGGCCATCTGAGCAGCCACGTGACAGCACTGGGGGTGTCGGCTCTGCCTGGGCCGCCCCACAGCTCAGGGTAAGGTGTGGACTTTGACCATCTGCCCATTCCTTATAGTTACATGAAACTATCACCTGGTGCCTAGTTTCCAGAAGGTTGGGGATGTGCATCTTTTGAGAAGCTTTCAAACCCTCAAAGAATGAACTCCCTACGGGTGAGCATAAGGCACTAAGAGCCAGCAGCAGGCAGACTTGGAGGGGGCAGGGGGCATCGCTCACAAAGCTGGAGGATGTCAGCGACGGCCAGCGCTCCCCTCCATCCCACACTGAGGTTTGTGCTCCAGGGTGCCCACCCCCACCCCCATCCGCTTTAATCTTTTATCCCAGATGCCAGTGTGATGGTCCTCTTCCAATTCCAGTCAGAGCAGCAGGTCCCCAGAATTCTTTTCATAAGATCTCCCTGTCCTTAAACTAACTTCCAAAAACCTTAAAATCTAAACCTTAATCCAGCCATAGGCAATGATGTCACTTCCCTTTTACATGTTTTCCTTTTAGTACATATTTTCTCAGAAAGTCTGTTCTCTGACCTGTGCAACATCCTACAGAAGAATGAGCAGGTGAAGTATGGAACGCCATCCCATTCTGCAAATGAGGAAACCGAGTCCCAAGAAAGTAGTGTTCCTTGCTCAGGGTTGCCGGGCTAAGTAAGCAGCAGGGCTGGGACTGGGGTTCAGAGCTTATAGGTCCTTATAGAGCTTATATAGAGCTTATATAGAGCTTATAGGTTTGTTCGGAGGTCTTCACATGACGCCCGGCTGAGATCACATCATTGAGCCCTACTCTGTCTTCCTAGAGACTAGGGGACCGAGGCCTGGGGAGGGCCCGGCAAGCGAGAAGCAATAATGGGACTGGACCCAGGGTCTGACTCCTGGCTCTACACTACTTTCAGGACCCCATATTACTTACCCACTGCTCCAGGCCCCTAAGGAAAGTGTATCGTTCAACTAACCTTGGACCTCGAAAGTTGCTTCTGTCCCAGTACACCCTTGGCCAGGACCTCCGGACCAGGCGGCTCTGTGCTGGGACTCTGAGAGTCTGAGCTGCAAGAAGTTGTATCCAATGAGGGATCGTAGGCCCAGGTCTCCCAGGGAGGAGATGCTGCTGTGGATACTGCCAGCGTCCAGAGCACCTGAGAAGATGCTTTGGTCATAGTCCTATTTAAGTGCCTCCCAAGAGCTGAGCTCACGGGCAGCCAGCCCAGGGGCCGCCCACTATATCTTGTCCCATCCTCATGCTGCTTCTGGTTCCTCTAAATATAGGAGGCTTACCTCAGCTGCCCTGGAAAAAAAACAAACAAACAGTTTCGCTTGACAACTTCCTTATTACTCTCAAACCCAACAAGAGACTGGCGCTCAGAAAACAACCCCGGCCTGGCTGGAGGCCAGGCTTCTGAATAAAAAACAAGTGCTACAGAAAACTCAAGTGAGAGGAAAAAGGAGGATGTAGTGTTATCGTCTCCACACCTTCCCTTAGTTCTCCCTGAAGCATGCCAAAGAAAGAAGGATCTAGAAAGAAAGGTCATTGAGTGGAACACATACACTCCTTGACCTGGAGACGAAACTCAGTGGGAGTGGAGGAGGGGCATGCTGCCCCGGGGGGAGTTGCCATGAGTCTTGACAGAACATCCTAACGAGTCTTTCAGAAATCACATTTTCACTTTCTGTGGCACTGGAATTTTTTTTAGATAGAATACATACATGTTTATTATCAGAAAAGAAGAACTAGTTTTATTTAAACCACACCAAAAAAATCATAAATTTTATTTTGGTTAACTGACATGGGAAGGTATTACAAATTACAGCTTCCAGAGTGCAAATGTAGATGTATTTATAAAATAGTTCAAAAATAAATTTTGAAAGTGCTGAGCTTTAGAGTTGCCCACGGCTGCAGCCATCTGCCAGCCAGCTGTGTGGCCTCTGGCAGGAGACACGGCATCTCTGATCTTGTTTCTCACTCAAGTCCTCTTGTTTATATTATAAAAATATGTGTGTATGTATTGTACGACGACAATTGGAGAGAAAAGAGGACAATGTGTTGCGTGCCAGGCGTTTCCAAGTCCTGTGCATTGAGTGCCTGGCGCCTCGTCAGTGTGCAACAAAGGGCCGGCGTGCCGTTTCTGCAGCAGAGCTCTTCAGGCTCCGATCGTGCTGTCGCAAACAGGTTTGGGTCCAGCCATGCGCTGGGCACCGTCTCCACACTGAATTTAGAGACTGTGTCAGCTCAAGAGCCCGCATGAGCTTCAAACAAGGGTTCGATTAGAACCTCAGTTTCATTTATTTAACTGAACTGTGTTTTCCTACCCACCTCTGCTAAGCCCTGTGTGCCTCATACATGCCACTCCGTGGTCAGAGCCCTGGCCAGCCCTCGTGGGGCTCACAGTGTAGCTGGGAAGAGAGGACACAGAAAAAGTCTGGAAGCGTGTGGAGGGGCAGGGGCAGTTGCTGTTTTGTGGGTACAGAGAATCAGCATGGGAAGATGGTCATGTTCTACAGACGGTGGAGATGGTTGTACAACAGTGTGAATGTACTTAATGCTACTGGGCTGTAGACTTAAACATGATTAAAGCGGTCAATTCTATGTTATGCATATTTTACCACAATTGAAAAAAGAAATCAGATGGAAGAACGGGCAGAGAGCCACTGGGGGTGGGGAGTGGGAAACCTTGTGCATGGACCCACCCTGGCCCCAGCCCCGCCACCCATGGGTGCTCACAGGAGGGAGAGCCGCCCCGGGGCTGTCCTGAGCCTTGGGCACCTTCTCGAACCAGGCAGAGGGGCACTCTGGCCCTGTCCTCGGTGCCCGTCAAAGACCAAGCCTCGGGCATCTGTGGAGAGACACTTGGCCTGTGGCCAGGTCCGGCTTCACGATGGGAGCAGCCCAGAGCCAAATGAAAAGGAAGGGCCCCATGTTCAAAAGTGTGAAGGATTTTGAGACAGAGACAGCAGAGCATGAAACCAGCTAGAGGTCCTTCTGAGTGTGGCCCTGGGCAGCTTGTGCAGCGGGCACAGCCACAGGGGACACTGATGAGGACAGTCCCTAACCAAACACTGCGAGGAAGGATGACCGAAGGAGGAGGAGGGGGAGATTTGAAAGAAAATACTTTTTAAATTTTGATTTGAGTATAACATGTAAAAGTGCACAAATCGTTACTATACAATCCAATGACTTTTCACGAAGGGGATAAATAAACCTGTGTCACTGGCACGCAGACTAAGAAACAAAACATCACCTGCACCCCTGCCCCCACCACCCTCACGCTTCTCACCGGTACCACTGTCCTGCCTTCCAACAGCTTAGGTCGTTTTTGCCGTTTCAGGGTTTTGTAGAAATGGGAATCAGAATGCACGTTTCTTTATGCCCAGCTTTTTCTTCACCCTACTTCAGGTTAATGAGACCCACCACGCTGCTGTGTGGAGCTGTGGTTGGAAATTCTCAGACCAACAACACCAGGGTCAGAGAGGCTGTGGGGCGACCAGAACTCCCATCCCCCACTGGTGGGCGTGGAGATGGTGCAGACACCTCGGAAAATGGAGGGGCGACTTCTACTAAAGCTGAGCAGACACCCACCGATGACCCAGCACTTCTCTCCCGGACACACACATGACACAAGGGCACGCACGGGCCCCCAACAACGTTCCCAAGAGCGAAGTGTCAGCACTCTTCGCAACAGCCCAAAACGTAAGAACTTGAGACTACTCAAACGCCCAGTGACAATGAAGTGAGTAGACGGTCGTATATTCACAAAATGGAGAATTTTCTTGTCCTGAGAGTCTGTATGTTTGTTTAGAAAGATTATTTTCCCTCTTGTGTGACCTGGGTAAGCCACAGGGGGACATAGAAATAAACTTGGTCTTGAGTGGAAACGAAGGAATCGATGGCGTGGTTCTGAGTGACATGTTTAAGACAGGAAGAATTTCCACAAGAGACACTCAAACCCCTCTAGGTTTGGAACACCTTTTCCCAGAAATCTGCCCCCATGCTGGCAAGAAAATTTGCATTATGGAAATTAGCACCTGCCTTTGGTGACTCCCAGGAGCAAAGAACAAGTGTGTGAATCCACCTCCTTTCCAGGGCCACACCCTCTGCTGGGAATCTACCAGTTCAAAGACCAGCCCTGACACTGTGCTTGGGCTTCCCCCTGCACCCCGCCCCACCCACCGCTGCACCTCCTGGGGATCTGTCTTCGAGACCAAGGTCCCTGGCCAGAAGGTAGTCTCAGAATGCTATTTTGGTTCTTGCGCACAATGACTGAATTTAGGTCTTGTGCTTAAAATGCTCAATGAATCTAAATTCCCATCCACACTCCCCTGCCTCAGTGCCTTTTCCTGTCCCTCCAGTGGCTCCCAGAATCTCCCTGTCCTTCAGTTGTTCCCAAGTCCCCCCCTACAAGTGGGCAACTCAGTTGACCATTATGACAGCTAGCAGCTGTGACATTAGACAAAGCTGCACTGTCCCCAGCTCCCATCCCCAGTGGGCGCACTAGTTACAACATTAACAACAGCAGTCGTTTGTGAAATGTTTACTTTATGTCACACCCTGTACTAAGGAAGACCTCTTACATGTGTTATCTAGTTTTGCCCTCATAATGTTTCTAAAATAGACATTGTTTTATCTACAGATTTGAAAGTGATGCTCAAATAGGTTAAATGCTTAAGTGACACTGCTAAATGGCAGATTAAGACCTATCAGTCAGTCTCCAAAGTGTGTCATTAACCATGGCGCTCCACTGTTAATCTGAATCTTGGTTCTCACAGCTGTGTGTGGGAATAAATGACACCAGACTTGCAGGATTGCTCAGAAACTTCAAGGAGTCCCTGAAAATAGGTAGTTCCAGGTTTGGTGCAGTAGCTCGATGACCCAAAAAGAACCAGTTCTGTGCTGATGCTCATCTCCTCATGATCACAAGATGGTTGTGCAGATCCCTCTGTCACTCTCACAGTCCCCTTCAGAGGTTGACAAGGGGCAAGGTGATAGTGTCATGGGTGGCTTCACTTTTAATCTGAAGAGTTTTCCCAGACATTTCTCAGCAGATCTTTCCTATGTCTTATTGGTCAAAACTTGTTATATGACCAGCCCTAGTTGCAAGGGAGGCTGGGAAAATGAGTAGGCGGCCAAGGAGAAAAGGGTTAGAAATAGAGTGGGCCATCCCTGACATGGCAGCATGGGCAATCCTCACACCTGTGGAGATGATCTTTCTATGTTTCTTCACTAGACCATGAGAACCTTCAGGACCAGGACCTCCTCGAGTTTTTTTCCCTGTATCCTCAGAACTTAGCCCAGTGCTCATCACTAAGAAGGTGCTCAACAATTCCCACTGAATGAATGAGTGAATGAGTGAGTGAGTGAGTGAGTGAATCAATCAATATTTGACCTTCCTCCTTCCTTGCTCATACCACCAAGAGCCTGTACATAGGCAATTGTTTATTCATATGCAAACTAAACTTGGGTTAACTACAAATAAGCCTATAATGCAAATATCTCCCAGTTCTTCCAATAAGCCATTATAGCTCTGGCCATTGGACATGCTGTTGTCTTTGCCCAGAACATTCTTCCCTCACCTCCAACCTCCCTGACCCATCTGCACATGGCCAGCTCCTTCTCACTCTCTAGGTCCCTGCCTAGACATTACCACCTCCAAGAGGCTTTCCCTGATCTCCCCAGTGTGGCTCAGAGGCCTCTGCCAGTCCTCCTGACCCCCGCATCCTAGCACTCGCCACCCTGGGTTGTGACTGTCTCCTTAGCAGGATAGTGAACACCCAGGGGAACCAGAACGGCACAGTCTTCGCTAGTAGAGTCTCCATAATCTTCTACTGACTGGGTCAGTTATACCAGAGATAAAAAGCAAAACTCTTATGTTAGGGGACAGATGGCAAATATTTTCAGCTCTGTGGGCAATATAACTTCTGTTGCAATTATTTAACCCCACAGATGGCATGAGAATGCGGCCTTAAAGAACATGTAAACAAATGAGCGTGGCTGAGTTCCCACAGAATTTATTTCTGGGCACTGAATTTTGCATTTCATATAACTTTCATATGACATGAAGTATTATTCTTTTAAACATATTTTTCAGCCTGGCTGGTGTAGCTCAGTGGATTGAGTGCAGGCTGCGAATGAAAGTATCGCAGGTTCGATTCCCAGT